GATACATATCAGCCTATTCATCTGGCTCTGCTGTATTTGTTAAGTACTAATGGACACAGACTGAGCCAAAGAAAATACATTTACTGTCTGTCTTTGTAAACAGTAATGTATTCTCAAAGATGGGAGTAAATTGTAATAGCAAATCTAAGCTCTTCAAAATGGGGGATCAGAAACAATGTTTAAAATGTGTGTCTGAAATGCTTAAGTACATTATTACACACACAGTATTTAGGTTAATAAAGTGAGTGTAATACTGAATGACACCAGTAGGTGGCACGTGTACATTTCTGCACATATTGTTTGGTAGGCCTAAAGTGTATGTACTTTATATAAGGTTTGTTTTGGCTGCTCAGCTTGTCCAAGGAATGAAGTTAAGTTAGGAGCTCTTTATACTTTCATATTTGTCACATTTTTTAAAAAAAGGATCACTGGGTAAAGTAGTACTTGTCCAATATAAATTCATTAATGTTATAAAGATCATCATGCTTCATCATATGTGAGGAATAATGAACTGCTTTACCCTGACAAGAGCTTAGACATTTCAAAACAGAATAGAAAAAATGCCATGTGATCAAAGAGCTGGTGAAAAGAGCCCACGAGCTTTAGGACTAGAGTCTGTGTACATCATGAACTTCAAGACATTATATTTAATGAGTCAGAACCCGCTACAGCTTAAGTGTGATGTGCTTCCCTCAGAAGTGGCCTTTTTTGTGTAATCTTCGGATTTCTCCTATGACGCTTTAGCGCCGCAGCTAATTAAAGGCAGCGCCATTCTGAGCTGCTGGGTCATTATCTTCACTTCTCCAGCTGCCTCCTCTACTAATCAGAGGAGGCTGCATTATTATGCCTCAGATGAGGGCTATGTTGCTAAGAAACAAGCTATAAATTTAGTGTGCATTCAAGAGCTCCAGCGTCTTCCCACTGTTCTTCCCCCTGTCTTTCTTTCTGCTTCCATATGGCTGTGGGTGTATAGTGCATTTAACACCTCTATGAGGTGCCCCATTGACCCCAGACCCATCAATAGAATTACACCTCCTTTAATGCCTATAGATTAACTCAGTGAACAGCTTCTTTAACTAGCTGCCAGGTCATTTTTAGATGCCACCACATTTAAATATAAAAAAATTATTTTTGATTGAACAAGGAAAAGAGAAAACAAGTTACTACAAAACGATTCATATAGTCATGTACTATTTGCCAAATGACCATTAATTGACCAATACACAGTAGAGCAGTATGGAATGAGATGTTTGAGTGGCTGTTGACTCCACTGAACCAAACCATGGATGCAGGCTGGACAAGTGGGTCTTATGAATGTTCATGTTAAACAAACAAGGAACAGAGAACACAGGTGGAAATTGCAAAGGGGTGCAAGACTGAGAACAAGAGACACCTCTTTTCACAAGGGATAACATGAGTCCGAGCAAACAGACATTAAAGCTGACATGATGAGATCCTTCAGGAAACTCTTTTTTAATTGATACAAGGATTTCAATAACAGCAACTGATGAGTGGAATGACCTGTTTTCATCTTCGTATGTTCTCTAACTTCATCACCCATTCATGACAATAACCCTTAGAATTTGTGATGCTAGAGAAGCTCTATTAATTATTGGAAAACTGTTGTACTACTACTATATTTAATATAAATCGCCGGTAACCATATTTATCAAGCTTCTAAATTCCATATAACATGATAAGGCAGTTCTTTAAGAAAAAACAGAGAATAATGAGAAATTGCAAAAAATAAACTTAGGAACGTACTCACAAAAAAACTGAATATATTAAACAAAAATCTTCTTACTGAAAGACAAGAGACAACAAAAAGCTCTGAAATCACAGTCCTTTAAAACTAAAATCTACAGCAGCTACTGTAATCCATAGTTTGCATATTTCAATTACTATGCTACAATGCTGCAGTCTGCAGTTCTGTATTTTTATTTTTAAATAGCCTTAAATGTTTTCCCCACAATGCATGACACTAAGTGTAGTCTTTTGTCCCTGCCATCATCTTCAGATCTGTTAGAGATCAACCAGTCTCATGGGATCTGAGATACATTTTTACCAAAGTACAAGGCACAAGAGAAAAGCAGTGGAAAAGCCGTACCTACACACATTTAAATGATCTACCTGTGCTGTGATTTTCATGTGAATGATTAGAACAACACGTTGATATCATGAGTTGATAATGTGCGATGTCAAAACACATTGATGCATTTAGAAAGATTTTTTTCCCCAACTTGGACCTAGGATATTCATAAATTCAATTTTGTATCCTAAGAGCTATTCTGTTCAGTGACAGAGATTTCCCTGTGATTAACAAAAAGCAAAATATAAAGGCGCTGTGGGTGCACATTACTGTATCAAAAATATTACGCCAGTACATACAGTAGCTGCTGTAGTTAGAACTAAAACTATTAAGTCCTTAGGCTCTATAGCCAACTAAGTACACACAACAGAATGTAATACTGTGATTTAAACCTTTGGTTCAGAGTAAAATGACAGAAAAAAATATTATAATTATCCAGCAGATCCACAACAAAAGAGTATATTTCCTGTGCGTTGATTTCATGAACTACAGAACACAGTCCAATTTATTCAGCACGCTGGCTTGAGATAACGCTTGTAATTTGTAGACAAACCAATGCAATTGAGTCTTAGCATTACATGCGTCCAGTGGGCTCCATCTGTCCAAGTTTAAGTCCATTAGCAATACCTACTACATATTTAATGCCTCTATTTTGGCATAAAGAACCTCCCCATTTGAGTGATACTGGTTTATTCAATGGTTTGATGTGCAGCTCAAGTCAGCCTCATTATTCTTAAAACTGACAATGTTAATTATCTTTATTGTTTACAATGCTCCACACGTACTGTAGGTCAGGGTCATTACAGGAAAAATGTGAAATGACATTTTTATAAAGTAAAGAGGAATTCATTAACCTCAGACTTGTTTCGTTCAAATAACGGACTAAAACTAGGGCACAGCATACACAATATTCAGTGATCTGAAAAAACCCAACATTCTGTGTCTGGAGAATGACGAGGACTGTTTCGAAGAATAATACTGTGGTGCAAAAGTAGAATCGACTGCAATTAGGTCCGAACCAGTAAAATGTAGAAATGCCCTTTTGACTTGAAGAACGCTGGCAAACTTTACCTCTCTTGTGAAACGCCATAATAATCTATTTGAGAGATCTATAAAGCGTTCAATGATTATGATGTTGCGATGAGACCATGTAAGAAAACTATCTTTTGGTATTTGAATTTGTATTAAAGTGCATCATTAGAAAAGGGTAGATTAAAATATTACAGCCTTAGGATTTAGAAGTCAATTAAAAAAAGATGAGATGCTTACCTCTGAACGTAGACGGATTAATCAAATCATGAGCTTGACAGGAAGAAGAGATTTTCTGAGATGATGAACTTTCAGAGTTCAGGTGCAGAAAATTCCTTTAACTTGAGGCAGAACTGGAATCCATCAACACTGAAGAGCTGATGAGGCAGGTTCTCTCACACAACATGAATAATAAAAATCCCCCATGCTCTCTGTTAATATTGCACACTTTAAGCAACAATAGGCCACAAGAGAGAATCTCCTTGCTAACAAACAAGATTACGGCTTGTTAGCAAAGTTCTGATACAGGTCAAATTTTTATTCTTAAAAACCCACAAGATTCTCAGTTGTACCGCTAATGTTTTGCACTTATTACCCTGACATTTGAATGGACATTATACATTTCAGAAAGGAGGAGTTCAACAACAACTATCAAAATTTCTTCACTCTTTGCATTGACTCACTGTCAATTTCCTTGCCAGTTAATGAAAATGGTAAATTATATTGTAAACAAAAATTCAGTTTCTCCTTTGATTAACAGCTGTATTACAAATTAGAACTAAGCAACTGGTAGCATATAGAAGGCGTTTCAGACCAGAGTAAGGTAAGGATATATACTTATCAAGATAACGTGAGATCTACAGAAAACAATGACAATATAAGGATTACAATTGTCTTGATGATCAAGTACAAGCTTCTTACATAACTTGTAAAAAACTAGCAAAAAGTGATATAGAAGAACTATATAAAAATATAAAGAAATAAAGATCTTTAATAAAATAAAGACCTTTGTTTATAAAAATAAAGATCACATACAAAGAAAAATAACCTTGAAAACTAAACACTGCACATTTAAAGATTTCAGATGTTTTGTACAAAACCGCAATCAAGACCTGAACTACAAGGAAGGAGAAGTGTTTTGTTCTTCTCTGTACTGATTGCTGACTGTAGATTGCATTTATCAGCTGACACCTGTAGAGAAATACTTAACCACCAGAACTAGAATGCAAAAATAAAGAGAAAAAAACTTCAAATTATTTCTGACTACAAGAAACAAACATCAATATAAAGAAGACAACAAAAGGTCAAACGTCTTGACAGATTAACCAGATTTTTGATAAATGTTCCTTGCACTATTACAGTGATTTGAGTACTACAGTATAATCAAAAACACACAAGAACGTTAGTCAGGCTCTCCTAATGGAACATAAATTAATTTATTGACCTTGTCAGCATCTGAAGAGCACTTTATCCAATACTGCTTGCAAAGATTTATAGATAACGCCGATCAGAAGCCCATAAAACGCCAAAAATTACAGCAGGTTATTTTTTTTTAAAGAAACTTTAATGCTGTGATGACTGCAAATCTATTTTTATTTAACCTCTACATTTTACAAAAGTCATAGAATATGTAAACAGTACTTTGTTAATTATACTCTTTAAGTGTGCATATCATTTGAATAAGATTTTAAGACATTTTCACTAGGAAAAAAAAATCAGAAAATACCAAAGCATTTTAAAGGCAGCATGTATAGAAAACAAGCTTAGATTATGTCCACTGACTTTATGTTTAAAAATATATACATTTCTGAAGCCACTTGGAGACCCACTTTCAAGCTTCCATAAAGGGACAATGGAATAAAACTTAAAATAGCCAATGAGGTTCCACAAAAGTTTAGCTTTTAATAATCATTTGTACAAAACTGACAATGTGCAAAGAAAAGTAAAAACAGGAAAACATTCACATTTCTTTTTTTTTAGCAATTTTGATTCTATTTCAACAGAAAGGCAGATCACCCTTGCAAATGCAACTGAACAAATCAACAGCTGTAAATCATGTAAGTTTTAGGTCTATTAAGAAATAACTCGATCACTAAAAACAGGAAAGCTCACTTCTTCAAAAGATGATTGCTTCTCATTGAAATAAAGTTGTAAGGTGCTTTGTCACATTTTACAAATGGCAATATGGAATATGAAAAAAACAGTTCAACCTAATAATTCTTAATCTGGACAACCTTCAAAATGAAAGACCTGTGAAACTCCACGCTCCTAGAAGAGAAGTGTCAGTAGTCTGTAGAGAAAATAACGGTCTTTAGCAGAGTTATGATTCCTAGAACAGAACCATTGCTCTAAGAAACTTTCATCACTCTTGGTCAACAATTATAGAAGTGAGAAGATTCCATACCATGGACATGTGGTTTTTATGAAACCTGAATTCCCCCCCACCCCCCAAGTCATTTTCTGAAGATTACTTTTCATGTTTTTTTAAACATGAAAACATTCTTGGCAGAGCCTGTAGTACACACTGCAGTGCAAAATTCTGCAGTGCTGCCTAACTTCAGTGTCAGCCAGAGCCTGTATTGCAAGTACAGTAAGTATCCTCAAAGCTTTTATAACAATACAATTATTCAGTAAATATATAGTTATTATGTATTTACTCAGTGAATGAAGCTACTGTATGTTTTTTTTAATAGGAAGTTTCACAAAATGTTATAAAATATGTATAGTGAACACAAATTCTTTGTGAAAACAGCATTTTCCCAGTGGAATAGTTTTCTAATATTAGTCCATTTTGATATTTTTAATTTACCAAACAATACTGCAAATTATTACCAATTTGTTATATTCGTGTCTTTAATCCATGCTTTTAATGTGTCGTATGCTGTAAATGCTGTAAATGTTTTTTTTGTCAGAATTAAAAAAAACACACATTAGCATTACAGGATAACAAACCCAGTTGAACAGTTGCCTACAGTATGTTGGGCTTATTAAAATGCTCTGCACTTGGCATTTCAATTCTTTATCTGCTTTTGGCTATCTTTACTCTCATATCAACAGAAATAATAGCAACCAATACAAAAACAAACCCACAAAACAGATCTTTTTGCAGTCTTGTTTTTCACTTGTGTGGGCTGAATGTGATTCATGACTACTGTTGAGCTGTGTGCTTATGTTATATTACAAGCATGGTTATATATAGCAGATATTTCTACATGAGCATTGCAGCAAAACAGCATACACTGGAGATAAGGTTATTTAACGAGGCCTGTTGGGTCACCAGTTTAAACCACAAACAAATCCACAGTTGCAAAAAACTGAAATAAAGAAATAAATAGGGAATATCTATAGTTGGCTCAAAAGAACTAAAAACTAATTATTGAGATGACTTTTTGCCAATCTTCTCTCTGTTCTTACCCCAGTTACTCAAACCCCACATGGGATCTTTTACAAGTCCAGAAAAATTCCATCATCTTCTCTGCTTTACAAATGAACAATTTATCTCCTCAGGGCCATTGGCTTTATAGAGAAACTAAGACTATTGTTCTTCTTTGCCCTCCAAACCCAAGCTGCTTTAAATGTCTTAAAGATGAACTGCTCTCTACATTCAGTACCTGATGACTGCTCCTTGAGTGCTTATTCAACGCAGCAGCAGGGGAAAGCAGTCTGGTGAAATGAATAAACTTGGTCAGTTGTGGCCACCATGACAGAACACTCCTGACACTTCTTGTCATTTCAGCAAAAGAATGGATTAAGTATCTTTTAAGAAGAATCAGAAAAGAAAAATAATTCCCAGTCCCAAACCTACTCTTTCTTCTACTATAACAATTATGTCTGTTTCAAGAACACCACCATTTTTAGATTCCCATCTCACAATTTCAATTTCATCAGCTTTCATCCTAAATGTTTAAAATTCAGCCTGGGATTATTTACATTTTGGACCTTTTCCATTTCATATACTGGGATTAAATGTAAAAGGAAATGGAATTTTGTAATTCCTGACTTTTTTTCTAAAGAATACAGTATATCAAGGAATGCTTTGTAACAGGATATATCACAACCCTTTACACTCTAAGGTCTGGATAACAAAAAAATTCATTGACCTGCTCATTTGAGGGCTGCCCAAGATAAGTAGAAAATATGTCATGAGAGACAGATCCTTTTTTATAATATTGCTTAAAGGCGTTGGATCCTGCCCTAACATTGTCTGTGGGCTGAGAATATAAAGAAGGTGTTCTTTTAACAGTGTTGGCAAATTATTTAAAATCAATTAAATAGTAACAGATAAAAAAAACGATTTCTTTGAATTTTCAAGGTGTCTTTAAAAAGAAAGCAAGACAACGCAGGTTAAAAGACATGACAAAAACATGCCAAATGTTAGAGTGCATAAATTGATCAAACATGCCTTGAAATTCAAATTGAGGGACAGGCCTTTATTCCCCTGCCTGTGGTCCACAGTATAAATGAAATGAAAGCACCCCCTGTGGAAGAGTTTACAGTACATTAGTATCTAGAGTCATCATGATTGCTTTTTTCACAAGGTGCAGATTCACAGGACTGAAGGCACAATGTAAGGAGAAAATCACCTGACTAAATGCCACACAAATATTTTTCCTCATTTTTGATTCATGTGACTCCAGTCACCACAGTTTGAATGAATAAGTGATGAAAGCACTTCAGTTCCGATATATTGGTGACAATTCTGGTGAGATATTAGAGTTACAAGTGAAGTTTTCAGAGTGCCGCAGAGTTTGTGCGGTAGTCTTATGACAATCAATGGCCAGGACAAGCCAAGTCCCACCATAATGAACTTCTTCCTTACTTAACTTTAGAACGTCTATTCTAATGACCACGGAGAACAAAAAATGTTTTCATTTGATTTAATCAAATATATCAATTTTTGTAACGTAGCCCCCTCCCCCAATTTTGGAATCTCCAGCTGTTAATCAACCACGCTTCCTCCTTCAACACGGCACAGGAGGGAAGAAAACGTGTGGTTCCCCCGATGTACACACTCTCAGGACACCCTGCCAGCCTTCACCCCTCTGTGGTGAAGTCGCCATTGAACAGAGGAGCTGCAGGTCTCTCCAGGAACACTGCTTGATCCCACACACCTTGAGAGCCACAGGAGCTGCCACAACACAGCAAGCTGTGTACTGCAGCCAAAGGAAATGGAAAATGGTTCAGGCCAGCTGTGACCTGCCACAAAGGAAATCCCAGTCACAGCTGGCTAAAGACAAAGCTCAGCCAGTGACTTACGGAATAGGAACCAATTTTAACCGTTCTGAGAAAGTGCTGTTACAGGCTTAGATGTCAGGAACCCTCTGAAAAACAACATAACTCAGTTGGATTCCACACAACAAAATATAATATTATCTGTCTCTCTGACCCACATGACCTTTTGAAGTTTTTCATCAGTTCTGCCTAGAGACAACTGTATTTTCTATCACAGCCCTAAACAGAAAACTACAAGATGACACATCCACACTCCAGTGAAGCATATCCAGCTCCTGATCTCCAGAAAGGAGACATTTGCCACTTAAAGCAGTAAAGAACTTTGGCGGAGATAATTATGAATGGGAAAATAAAGCTTCAACTTTTGCCTTCATCTTAAAAGCACTCAATGGTTTTATCATGTCACATGAAATAAAATCAAACTGCAGTGATATCAGACTTGTTGTAACAACAGCTGTTCCGAGAACGTCAATGTATGATTTCGAGCTGAGACAAAACAAGGATATCAACCAGGATTAGTGTTATCAACCTTGCAAGGATCAGATATTTCTCTGTGGATTTAAAAGATATTCAATTTAGATTTTTTTTAACCATTTTGACCTTTATAGAGCACAGTACATATTTTTTATGTCAATATATGGTGCATCCGTTTTAACATCTTAAGACAGGAATTGCACAACTACAAATATTGCAAACATACTAAAAACATTTTTTGATAATAAGATCCATTTAGATTATACCAATGATCCATCTAAAATCACTTTTCTTTTATTTTAGACATTATTTGAAGCTTTACATGTTAGAACCAGATATCTTTTTTGTTTAGAATACAAAAAATACATTTGAAAATGATAAGTTCCATAACTAGCTTATCCATATACTGTATTAAAAGTCAAATATCAACATTCGTTACTGAAGTACTGACAAAGGACACTTTCAATTCATTACCTCCTTCAGAATGATACCACAGACCACTGAGATGCGCTGGCACAGTTTCTTTCACGTACTACTGAAAAACAGATGTAACACTAGAGCAACCTGTTGGCATAAAATAGTCCTAGAACTGTAAAGTAACCCCCTCTCAAGAAAAAGAAAATGATAACAAGAAGCTCCTCTGCTATTGCTTTTTAAGATTTAAATTACCATTACAATTTAATTACCAATTATAGCCTTGATTAGCATCATCATCATTTTACTATATGGCACCCAAAACAATATTTTTTTGCACAAAAAAATGCAATAATGTGAACTGGAACGTTTTTGTTGTTTATGTGACATGAGAAGCTGGAGAGCAATGCAGAACTGTACAGCTGGAATGTACAGCAGGAATGCACCCAAAAAAATTGTGAAGTCAAACATATCACTAAAAACAGCTGCAGTCTAAGCCAATGGGGCATTGCACTGGCCACGTCACACCTCAATGTACTGAGGCCAAGAAAGCCTTAACATGTTGCCCAAAACTGCAGAGGGCATTAGATATTCTCCTTTATCTTTCCTAAAAAATTCAGAATGTCATAGCAGCTTTTTTCTGCCTGCATCATCAGACATGTATCAAGAAATAAATTGCTCTAATCATGTGTTTAAGAACACCTTCAACAAAAAAGAAAAAAATATACAAAAATATTCCCTCCTGTTGTACTATTAAAAACACAAGACCCTGTGGCTGCCAGCAACAAGTCCTCTGAGCTTGCACAACATTCTACAATGACCCGTGTCTGGAAGCTGGAAAACGTCTGGTCATTTTTCTTCACACTGAAATTATCGTAGCAGAAAACTGCGGATGTAAAAAAGCAACCAGGCAACATTTGCATGTCATTTAGTCATGTCTGAGGTTTCTCTGTCTTGTTGCAATCTCATTGGCTGAAAGACTTTCTGCCATTTTTAGAAAGAGTTTAGGGGGATCCAAAACTCCACGTTAACAGAGAAAAAGGCAGCTCCCACAGTGAGAGAGCTTGATGTAAGCTGTCCCAAGGAACAGTTTATCTTCCAGACGTGCTGCTGATAAGAATGAAGGAAAACACAGTAATAGGTTTGCCAACAAAAACAACTTTGAACTTTATGATGAACGGAAGAGTGAACAATCCAGCTTTTGAGGAATTACCAGTGGGATACTTCCATAACAGTTTTGTGAACCAATTTGTATGTAATTTACCATTCATTCCTGTAATGATCAGGTGCAAAATAAAAGAAGAACTTACTGAGCAGTCTTGAAAAAGAAACCTTCTGGTGAAAGGCTTATATTGTAAATAACAGAGACAATCTTCAGAGTTTGCGGCCTTTCACATTCAGCTATTTTCCATTTGGAAACAAGTAATAGGCCTCAAAAGAACCTTTTCTAAATTATTTTTTAAGTCATACCATAAATCTACATACATTAGTGCCTCAAATTAAGAGGCCTTAGCTCTCTTTCCAACTTCCCCTCATGCCCAGGGGTCTTCCTCTACATCTCTGGAAGCCACAGGACATTTCCTTCACACCCAGCCCTCACTGACAGCGCCTCTGTTCTCCCTCGGTCTGTTTGATCCACAGCTCAGTTCATGTCGATGGTGTTAAAAACCCACTCAGTGAATTTCTTCAGTTTGGCCGAAGCATTCTGAGACTCCTCCTGTAGCCTCTGGTTGTCCTCGCGGAGGCTCTGGACCTGGGCTTGCAAAAGCGCTTTGTCATCTTTTTCCTGTGTCAAAACACAGAAACCCCCTGGGTCAGTCTTACTGTGTCTCTGCTTGGTCAATCTCCCAAAAATCATCACAGTTCCTCTGAGACCCTAAGGCCCTTTCCCTCAAGCCACAATAGCACTGTAACACAACCAATGGATTTCAGTGAATAGACTGGATCTCTATAATAATTCAGCTAATTATTAATAAAGGTGGCAATCCACCCAGACCAAAGCACAAAACATTTAATTTAACTGAGTAGAGCAGAGAATGCTAAACAACATCCTGAAAAAGCCTGAGATTCTGCCAACACTGTTATAACTCCGGTGGTCAAATGTGAGCACAGCGGGTCTTTGTACCTTTTTTAAATCTTCCTGAAGCACTTTGACCATGGCTTCCAGCTGACTCACTTTCCCAGCGAGGCTGGAAGGAATTTCACTGCAAGTAAAGAAAACAAAGAATCTGGATGTTATGAAACCATGAATAATCAAAGAATAGGCCGAACTGTACAGCGCCCGCTTCCTTACACTCCTTTGAGAAGGTATGTCAGCTCTACCCTGAAGGTAACAGTCTTCGCATTTCAAAGGCCATTCTGCTGGCCAGCAGCAAATTATACAGGTTTGCTGCAGACAAGACCAAGCTAATGTCTTGCCAAATGTGAAGTTGGTGCAATATATGCTAATCTACAAAACACTGAATGAGCCAAAAACAAGCTTATTCCAGAGGTTTCATTTTTTGTGCACATAATGCAAGTGAACCCTCTGAAACAGCAAGTTAGACGTAACCTAAAGTGCAGGCCACTTTCCAGCAGTTTTAGTGGAACGTTTTGAATGCTGTTGACTACTTGCCATAGAAATATATAGTAAATTACAATCATATTTTTATTTGGAAAATAAGAAAAAAACTGGTCTCTGAGGATAGAAAAAGTCACATAATAGTGTACCCCTCACTTCTTGCTATTTGTAAGGTATAAATATGTACAATAATTTATTTTTTAGAACTAATTATACTTGTGTTACTCCCTTTAGTTGGGAATCCCATTACACAGCAATTTTTATAGAAGAAAAATTTTAAAATTATGAGGTGGAGAATAGATTTAGATTTAGACTTTACAGTCCCATAAATATATAAATATATATACATAATTTCTAGTCTTTCATGAACAGCAAAGTATAACCATTTTCTGATTTTGGTATTTTGACACTATCTCACTAATACTTATATTAAAAATATATTATTTTTGTTGAACTAGCTGTCAGGATATTTCACTGATATATGCAGTATGCTTTCAAATTGTCAACGAAAAGGGGCAAAGCCCTCAAAACACAGTTTTGTGTTTCCATCGGCAGGCAATATCCTTCACACAGAATTAACAGGACCTTCACTCTCATACAAACCAGCCCACAGAAGATCTGGCCCATGAGGAACACCCACAATCAGATCTGCATTCCTCTTATCCTCTCTCCCCTTCTACCCTAACATCCTTTCTATTCCCAAGGACAAAAAAAAAACTCCTTTGTTTTACAGAATGATTTGTATACAGACCCAGTAATCTTCTCATGCTTCATCCACCTAATCTAAACAGCCTTCATGTCCACAGTTCACTTAACTCTCCAAGGACATGCATCCTCACCAGGCACTTCTGGCTGTAACAGAAGTCAACCTACATCACCTGCAAAGACATATTCACACATATGCATGGCCACTCTGGCCATCTCAAGATCCAGAGTGCTTGTCCATTAATCTACTTTATTGCATCTCCTGTAGAAAGTGCCCTTTTGCAATGGAGAACCTGTAAGGAGACTGACCAAGCATTTCAATAAAAATTCAGGGAATGTCAGAGCAGTGAGGATCAAAAATCTCTCTAAGCCGATAACCTTTCCAGACAATGATTAAACTGACCTTTTACAGGATTCTACTAGAAAGACATCGTAAATTGAACCTTGGCTCACACTCCCCTCAATCAGCAAGTAATTTATTTGTAAATCTCTCCATTCATTTACACACTGCTGTCTCTCCTGGAATTCATCACTCAGGTTTCCACCTTCTTAGCTCCATTTTCACTTTCATTTTTCCCTGATCATACACAAGCCCTGTGTCTTGTATTTCTGCTCTATTCCTCTCTCATCCACAAACAAGGATACGCTACATGCCCTGAATGTTGTTTTTTCTTTTTTCTTTTCAGGGTTAAAATAACCTCTACTTGTCCATCATAGCTTTGACTTGTAATGACACATGTCATCATTTCAAGGACGGGATTCTAGAAATGTATGTCAGCTCATGCTTTCTAACTTAGTATTCCTCCACACCTTGAGTGATACGTTATTTGTATTACACTGACCTAGCTTCACCTAGGACTCATGCATCTAAACTTACACAGATAGGCTAAAAGAAAGTGACTCTATTTAACCTTGATCAGAAGAGACCGCAGGAAGATGGTAAGGGGCTACTTCACAGTCAAAAACTCATTAATGAGTCAGAGTCACAGATACACCGAGGCCTGAAAACAGGCCATCGTCATGCAAAAGTTCATGTGTGTCTCAACAAAACTATCGGGCCATGCTGTGGTAAACAAATCTCAAAGTAGTTGGATGAGGTTTAGCTACTACAGTACCAGCAAAACAAGTCAAATGAATCAAGCAACCTCCTCTCGCCATTTATATAATTCATATGCATTTAATGCAACAGGTAAAAACAGCTCTCCTCAGACCTGAGAAACAGAGTCCTATTCAAAGCTGTGAACCTACCATGAAAGAGTTAAAGGGAATATTTACCTGGGGGAATGTCTAGACTGAGGCTGAGGATCTGGCTGCTGAGGGCTGGACGCAGCACTCTCAGGTCTGTGGTTTACTTCTTTAGCAGCAAATAATGAGGCTCGCTGGTCTGGGGGAGAAAGAAACATGTAAATTTCAACCCTAAAAAGCAACAGCAGGGAGGACTTTTTTTTGCATTTGCTTTGTTACTTCATCATTCGCATCTAAATGACAAGATGAATACTGATCCAATCAGTTTTTAGCAGTAATTCATAAGGATTTCTGAGTAAATACTTTTTAAAAAGTAAACAGATGTCTTGTTTTGAGGTTCGTTGCTGTGAGGATATTCTTGCAAAACATAAATCAAACGTTTCTTGAACTCAGGCTGCGATTTCCCAGAATTTAACTTTTTAAAAATGGCAGTGCTTGACAATTCAGTATCTGTGGAAAACTATTCAACAGCACTGCAATAACACTTGCATCTGCAACTATAGCACAAGGGAGGTTTCTGTAGTTTGGGATTTTTTTTTTTTGTTCTGATGATCTCCTTACCTTCAAAAGCTTTTGCAGCATCAACCAAGTGCGACCAGTCAAGGCCAGTATCGGTGTCTGGCAGAGGCATGAGGCAGGGGTCCTGCAGGGGCTGCCTTCTCCGGTCATGCAGCTCTGACAGAGAGGTGTCCGAGGCAGAAAGGTCTCCTGAAGACAGCATGACATTAAAGCCACTCATTACAAGCAAGCAAAGTCCCATACGTAACATACTGTATTACTTCAATTACATTACATCTTACAGGGACTTTGTGGACCCGGGTTTTAAGTTATTATTTAGCCTAAATAGCCTAAATTATTCCATGCTGAAAAGAGAAGAAAGGAAACAACGTTTTTGGCTGTGGAGCCTTCTTCTTCACACCCGAGGGAGGCTCTACAGCCAAAATGTTGAGTTTCTTTTCAGCATGGAATAATGGAATAAACCTGTACTTGTTTCTTTGCAGCTTACGCATGCTAATGCAGCTACCTATTTGAACAAAATCAAGTCAGCCAAGTCAATTCCATATGTTTCAGTGTGTAAAATTGTCTCTTTTCCACACTAAAGAGCCGATATGTTTGAAATGGTCCATGTGTGTCAAATGTGAATATTTGAATACACTGACTTTCATTCGAACTCATTCTCCACCAACTTAACTGTCCTGATTAAAGAGTCATCAAAACATATTGTAGATTTTTTCAAGGTCTGTCCAGGTTCAGGATATAAAACCGTCACTTAAGATTTGGAAGGATTAAAAGCGATCTCTCCATGAACTGGATATTACATCACTGCACTGGCCAGTCAACAATAAAAGTGTGCTGGAAGACGTGGAGCTTTTTTTCTAACCAGTAACCAATATTTTTTTAGTTACTGGGACCAAAAATGACCATTGGGATCATTTTGTTGGAGTGGTACTAGTTTCAGCACTTAAATAACATCACAAAGCCAAGAAAATAAAAAGTGACCCACTTGACGGCGATACTGAATGCATGTAAAGGTATGACTATTTTCCTTAATCGGCAATACGTTACAATAGCTATTACAGGCAAGCCTCAACATAACTGAGGGAAAACAATCGCATTTTACAGATTTGTGTCCGGACCGCGGCATTTACCATGCAAAGACTTCACCCCCAGGGTGTATGAGGGGCGGCGGAGGGGCATATTTCTGGTGGTGGGGGAGCGGGGAACTGTGGAGCAGCTGAACAGCACATCATTGGGCAGCACCTGCTCCAGCAGGGAGCCCCCGAAAGTGGGGTCCCTCTGACCACTGTAGATGCTCTCGTCAGACAGAGTCCTGTGGATCGATCGCCTGCAGGAAGGCGTGCTGGGAAACGACGGCTGGAGAGGAGCAGGAAAAGTTAAATGTAACATGCTGCAAAATAAACTACGGAAATATTTGCTAGCACCTCAGAAAATGTCACAAGGTCAGACAGCATAACTAGCGCATAAATCATTAGAACATGGGCCACTGGTGATCTATTCTTCATGTATCCATCCTGAACGATTATCTGCTGAGATCAGGACAAGAGTCTGTCACATGTTAAAAATGTAAAACTAAAGGCCATGGTAGCAGCACAAAACAGCAAACGTTTACACAAAAACAAACCGATGATGTTTTACTCCAACACATTGAAGGTACTGCGCATTTAATTTCAACACTACATTGGTTTTGTTGACTACTGTAAGCTCTTTCTTTACTTTGACTAACCAAATACTAGTTTCTTTCTTTAAATTTACTCAACCTTTCACCTTTTTTTTTAAAAAAAAGCAGTTTGTAATTGTTCACTGCAGTACAATTATTCAGCACAGCTGGAGTCCTATGCAGATGTCTTCTTCAAAGTGCTTAAGGACAGGTCTATTATAAAGATCGGCAGACTGCATTCTTATAGGAATGGTAACAGCTAGGCACATTTCTATTTGACTACCATTTATAAAATGTCATTATGAAAAGCTGTCCTTTTAAATTGCCATTTAAAATTCTTAATTAACAAGCAGTTCATCTACAGAATATATTCACATGTTAAATTTAGTTGGACATATTTGATTGCATTAAGAATTGCAGATTATATTCTGAAAACACTCTATTTAATAACCACTTCCTTTTTTATTAAGGGAACAAAGAATGCCAAATGTCTTCCATTCTGGGTAAATAAAAATCTTTTACTTATTTTTAAGAACACAGTTAACATGTACTGTAAAAGACAGCTTTAGGAGAATGTTTTATTTTTCTTACACTAAATTGCACACTTTTTCTCAAAATTAAATGTCTAGAAGAAGCAAGCAAATTTACAAGCAAGTCTGATGATGGGACATAAGGTATGGCTTTAATCTGTCATGTCACTCTTTCACCTAAGCTCTGACCCACTGAGGTCAGAAGTGAATCCGATAACTGTGCGCAAAAGAGAATCTCTTCTCGCACCGCACTGTTTTGGAGCTGGTCTTTTCACACACTATATTGACATTTCCAGATTTTGTTTTTACTCAGAAAATGAAAGTAAGTTTTTATCATTTGAACACTGCAACCAGTTACAACACAAATGTCAACAGTAAAGGAGCTTCTTATCTATTGGTAACAGTATACTGCCTCCCATTTTCTAAAAAGAAAATCTGTAATATGATAATCAGTCATTTCTTACTGTATTGTTTGACCATTTAAATCTGATGCATTTTTAAATTCATTTCTTCGGAATGAACTTGCTGGATGCTAAATTGCCATTGTAATTAAACATCAGAGGCATGTGAAGCAAAATTAACAGCTGGATTGTTTTCTGATTGTCTGGCTTTGTAAATATTAAAGCCCATGCAGTTTGATTTTATGCAACAGGTCAAAAGACACAGTCATACCTCCGTTCTCTGAGGGACTCTATCCAGAAGGACTTCTAGGGCTCTATTATCAACAGCTGCAGACCTTTGAAAAGGGCTAAACTGCTCCAATTAAACTAAAGATCAGCAACATAATGCATATGAAAGTAGAGATGGAATGAAAGCCTGCATACAACTGTGGTCCTCCAGGACTAGGACTCGGTACAACTGCTACAGGCCTAAATTCAGTAATGCACAGCAGAATGGCAGGTGAATGCCCTAGCATATTCACACAGAAATTCCTCCCCCCCAATTGTTTGAAGTCGTTCAGTACTGGAAGGACCCTTGAAAGTTCGAAGTACCGAAGGACGTACCTTGTGCTGCTCATCTCTGCAAGGGGGTGGGCTGTCCAGGGTAATCAGTTTCTTCAGATCCTCCTCCATTGTGGATTTGGTCAAGCGCTGTGGGGAATGCAGGTCCCTCATAGACGGGCGCATTTGGGGCATGCCAGCCTCCAGACCATCACTTTGGTGTCGCCTGCAGCACCGCACATTTCTTTTTATCATTTAAGCATGTTTCGCACCGAACGTGGAATCAAAGTTAGAAGAATTTCACCACACAAAGAAGGGATAATACAAAAAGATCAATTAACTCCAATGGGCTAATATAAAATGTAGACATTTAAATGTTGCTAGCAAGAATGGGATACACACAGCTGGAGCTGCAGCTTGGTGCATCATACTGTACGTAGGCATTTTAAAAATCTTAGAAAGATTTCAGTCTGGAGCCTGGACCTCATTCCAGTCAACAAAGTAAAAATGATCTTCCTTGCAATGCTTTATATATCCACAAGGTGGAGCTTGTGCACATGCAACGGAGAAAAGAGCTCAGAAAGATGTTCAGTAAATTCTGAGACAAAAGTATATGTGGAGTATAGAGAAGTGCTTAATGTGTTCAATATTAGGCAAAACCCAATACATTAATCTAAGGTCAACTCAAAGCTCTCCTAAAAATACAGAACAAATAGTACATATCATGGATTTTACATTATGAAATATCCCTCAAATACTTTTTCACAAAGAAATATTTTGGTATTTTACAACAGTGCATTCCTTTTCCTCGGGTTGATTCACACTGATATATTAACAACAACAATAACAACAAAAAAGGAGCTTACTTTCTTGTGTCCCCAAAGCCCACGGAGTTGATGGTGCCCCCTGGCTTCCTCCAGCCAATCAGGTACTTGCTGGTGGCGCCCTGACGGGGGTAGAAGGTCTTGGGGCCGGGTGACAGGGAGGACTGGGAGGAGGGGGAGGTGGCAGGAATGGACTCCTCTCGCGGGGAGCTGCGGCTGGAGCCCAGGATCACGGGGCTGCCCGAGTGCCGTGAGCTCAGAGTGCTGAGACGGGGGAGAGACAGAACACGACCTGAAGTTAAACATTAGCCCTTATTGAGAACATCCTGTTGTGAGCAGCTTAATAGTGTTTTTTAAACACCAGGAACTGCTTTTTTGTGGTACAACTGTTATCTTAACAAGGTTCTCAAACTCAATTCCTGCAGGGTTTAGTGTCTTCTGGTTTCTGTTCCACCCACGTTCTCAGATAGCTGGCCTAATTATTTAATTAGCTGCATAACCGTGATACTCCTTACCCGGCTCTGAGGTGATTTATAGGTAAATGTAACTTGAATTAAGTGAATGTCTTGTGTAATCAACTGTAAAAGACCTTACAAAAGAAAAGATATAGAATACTATACAGTACATGACTACATTTGAAACTAATTTGGTTAATTGTTTGACTAGTCTGGTTAGAACAAAAACCAAAATAAACAACATCTTACAGGAACCCCTGATCTATGAAGATGCTTTTTCCCCCAATGAGTTCAATCCTCCAATTACCTCAGGATATAAGACTAGTCTCACTCATCTAAACATGGCCTTACCAGAACTTCCTAGCAGTGAGAAAATCAATGACAATGAGAGCACTCTAGCTGCCATGCAGCAGCGATGGCCAATGAGATCCACAGGCCAACAAGTTTCATTGTTCTCTAGAATATCACAACTGTTAAGAATTTGGGAAGAAAAACAATAAACTGAGGTCTACTGTAGATTCCAAGGGCCTGATGAGGCTGCTAAATGACTGCTAAAAGGATAGTCCTCAAGTGTCCAGCAGTTTCTGATTTTGACTTCATTTGTGCTTACCAGTTTTTGTTAATTTCTAGAGACCTTTGCTGTTTCTTGCACCAAAAAAAGTTTAAGGAGCAGTTAGAAACTTTGTATGTCTTTTTAACTGTAGCCACCCTTGAAGTTGCCCTTCTTGCCATCTTCAGGTTTCAAACAAGCATAAAAGTTTGCAAATACGGTGAACAGCTCTTCTCACACACTGCACCTATAGCACTGTTATTGCTACTTCAATCATTTTTGTGTTCTGTTCACACAGCATGTGACTGTACAACATAATGCTTGGAATGTCTGGTGAATGGGGTTGTGTGGAGAAAAAGGGTTAATCTCCAAAAAAGTACTCTTATTCTAGGCATGCTCTGAATACACCTTAGACTTCTCATTTTGAAACAGCAGACAAAGTATAAACAATGCTAAATTATACATACTGTATACACACAAAAAAGACTCATCAAAGGGAGTATTTGAAATAGTTGAGGGAACGTCTGTCTCTGAATTTGAAAGCACATATTAAAGCAGAAAAGCTGTTATCCCAAAGAGGAAAACAAACCAAAAGCATTTAGAAGCATTTCTCCTTCAGATTTCCAGATGGAAAGCAATGATATCCATCCTTTGAAGAAAGTAACTGACAGGGACGGGCTCTCCTTTCTTAAACATGCTTGTGAGTTGAAATTTAATTTCTTCAAACATGATGGGACAGTAAAAAAAAACCTGATTCATTTACCATTAAAACTTTCCTATTTCATTTACAGAGGCGTATTTACCTGCACCTGTGCAGCCGCACAGAGAAAAAAAAACGATATTGAAAGCTCTTAGAAACTGACAGCAAGCTGTGTACAAGAAAGGTTCAGCCCTCAGCAGGGTCCAAGTGCTCCAATTATACAGTGCTGCATATAGTGCATTAACATTAGCATTCCAATCATCTCCTAGCTGGGTAGAGTGCGGTGACTGACATTTCAGCACAGAATGATGAATGCACATTAATATGTAGCCCCCTCTCTGTCACTGGAAGAAAATAGCCTGTGTGGCAGGATGTATCTGCAGCAGGAGAGGTGGAGCTACAGCAGGCAGTAATCACAGCAGCAGTTTGAAACGTCGTAGTTAAAGTCTCAACGCAATGCAAAGATAAAAAAAAAGAATAACAAAACTTTTAGAATCAGAAACAACTTTGGCATAAAAATAATTGGAACCTTGCGATCTGAAGGTATTTTATCGAAGCAGTGTGTTCTTTCACTTCATCCCTGCTGATTTACAGTCGACGGCCTTTTCTCATTACATCTGGAAGGGAGATAGGCTGCGACAGCGAGGGAGGGAGAGGGCTGTTGTGAGCCGAAGAATAAAGACAATACGGGGGTGCTGGGAGTGGAAGCACAGAGATACTGCAGGGGATTTGGGTCAGTTATGTAACTGCACAACTGGGATATCCAATTCCTTAACACACTCAAGAAACAAAACAATCGAATGGGAGGTGCACCATCACAGTATATCTGTGAAGTGTGAAATCCATAGAAAGGACCTTTTAAACTATACAAGAAAATAATTGACAATAACTCAGTTGAGAGGTCAGTGTTGCATAAGTCTATTTACCACCACTGCCGGGAGTTACCTTGTAATGGGAGTCATGACTCTCAGTTCTCTTAACACAACAGACTGAGCTCTCGCCTGCTGAGCCCCTAAACATGAGAATGGACTATTGCACGACTGCAGTGAACCAAACTACAGCTGCATGATGCAAACTGTACAGCTTAATGATGGGAAAGAGAAAGGTAAAATTATGAGAGAAAAGTACCTGAAATTAAATTAGAATTTAGCTTGAGTATTCGAGAGCTCTAAAATGTGTAGCATTGGTCAGTGGGGTACTGTATATGCGGGGTCCTACACAGGCTTTACAGTCAGCACATACTGAATTTGCACAAAAATCCTACTTTCAATTGCCTAAAAAGAACATCTACATTTTGAAATGAGGTGCTTTATGCAGTGAACGAAAGCAATAAGAGAAAAAGAACAACAAGGACATATTCTCACTGATGTCAGTCCAATAAATAGGATCTGTTTTTTCTTTTTATAACAGTTTGGATCATCTACACTTAGTCAAAGCTTGAAGAAAAGAAAGGGGCCAAGTTTAGTGACACAGAGCAGTCCTTTTCAAAAGAAAAAAAAATGAAAAAGACAATGAGTATAACCTTGTTAGTTTTCATGTTATTCTACCACTGCAGAGGCAAGGGAGAGCACAAATACAGAAATAATCTTCCATATGAATGTGTGCTTACAGTTTGGATTGCTTGGCATCAAATGTACTAGAAACCTGAGTGGCTAAATTCTATCATGCATTTATGTGTTTTCCAGTAACTACTGTAGCAGACAGCTCCAGTTTAAAAAAAAAAAATCTCTGTCTTTATCTAAAGGTTCTAGCATGCTAACATATACTGTATTTGGAGACCTAGAAACCGTGCAAAATTTACCAGTGCCTAAATGGGAAACATATGTCTCGATGTTTATTGCAAACCAATACTAACAGAGTTTACTGCAGAAAAGAAAACCCTTTGTCTCTCAGTTGAACTGGATGGAACTTGTCTTATTCAGGGCAACAAGAAAGACCGTTCTGTGCTGCTGTGCAGTACCTGGAATGTGACGCCACATCGCTGAGGCTGTAGGTGCTGTTGTCCCGTACCAAAGGGTATGAGGAAGGGCTCTTCGTAGGCCCTTCAGTGGCAGTGCCAGGAGGAACAGGCGACTCCGCGGCTGGGGGAGATCTTTCCAGTACCCTCCGGCCCCCCTCCACTGGGCTCTGCCATGGGGAGCCGGTCTTCTCTTTGGCACCCGGAGCCCCAGTGGTGAGAAGGGACACGGCACTGCCGTGGCTGGCGCCGTATGAGGTGGTGTCGATCCCGCTGTCCGCCGACGCGCCCTGCAGGTAGCCCCCGAAGCCGTTGAGCTCCGCGTCTGGCCTCTCGCCTGCCCCGCCTCCGATCTCGTACCACTTCTCATCGCTGTGAGCACTGGAGGCGTTGCTAGACAGAGTGTTGCTGCTGGAGTGGCTAGAATATGGAGCTTCTGGCTGTACAGCACAACGGAACAGATGGGGACGTGAGTCAAACAAAAGATGTCGAAAATGGTTTGGGAGGGTGAGTGTCAAATTCAATTGCTCAAGGATAAAAGTCGTGTTTCTGATTAAATCTGACCAAACCATACCCAATTGTTCAAATATCTGAAAACCCTGGACAATAGATTAGCCACTCTAGAAAAAAAAAACAGAACATGCAACTAAATGTACAGTACAACTGTGAAATGTAACAGGTACATAAACCTTCCACATAATTTTAAAGCTTTTGCAGTTATAAAAATAAATAAAAATAAAACTGAGGTTTGTCATATATTATAAAGTGAGGTTTATAATGTACCTTAAAAGACCACCAATGGATTTATATGCTAGTGTACCTTGTACATTAAAAGGAGAAATGTGCTTGTTTTAGACCAATAGGCTTACCTGGCTGTTTTTGTTAGGAGAGAGGTGGATGACCTGCTCCTGTCGCTGGATACGTGGAGCACTAGATGGATCACGATAAGGGGGCCCAGACTTGGTGGCTGTAGACTCTGAAACACACAGGACCTCAGGGTTAGAACAGAGACAAGCTCATATAAAATCAGTGCCACTACCTAATTTCCAACTCACATCAGCTTTAGTCTTAGGAATGACCTGAAAGGCTGTCCAGGGTCATTTCTTTAACATGAGAACTACATATGTTTCACAAAATTGTAAACAGTATAAAGAAGAAAATGCTTGTTTACTGTGAATTTCCTCTGTATATTTTTAAGATTTGATCTAATAAAAGCTCACTATGATGAAAGCAAGGTGAAGGATAGGAGCCATTGTTATTTATATTTGATGACTTTAAATAACTATGATTTAATTGCATTGAGTTTTGATTACATTATTAAGATTTACATAACTGCATACATTTGGGGTTTTTTTTGCCATTGGGATGTTGCAGTTGATCATCAATGCTATCTTCTTATAATGTTTTTTTAGAATAATTATTTTAATTAAGGTTTTATAGGGTATGTACAGGCCCTTATTCTGCTGCAAGGTCACTGTGTTATGCATTGCAATGTGAAAAGAAATCATCTGTAATCTGCAGTTTGTCAAATACTCCAGGTTTAATATTAAAAATAAACTAAACAAACGAGTACAGAGAGAAAGACTCAAAGCAATATAACCTCAAATAGTAGGCTGCAGAGCAACAGAAATCAGATCTCTTGGTCTTAACATGGAGATCTGAGGTAAACAAACACTCTTGTTATATTACTGTTACATCACAGACAAACCGCCTCTACCTGCGAGACCCAAAACACTCTGCCATTCCCAACAAAATGAGATAAGAGCCCAGGCTTATATCCGGGATAAGGAGTAGAAAGAGGCCAAATGAATTATTTATCTTTGGCTGACAAAAGTTTTATGGAATTATTGTCTATTAGTGTTTTAAAGCAACAATTTGGAGGTGCATATTAGTCACAATTACTATAAGCATACTATATAAGCAAAATACTATTACCCCAAAACCATGAATGTACTGATTTTTTATAATTTTCACCACAGTACGCAATACAAATTACATTTTTCATAATCCCTTCTCATTTATAAAGAATAGATAATGGAAATGTTTCTATAATGGAATATGATAATCAACAGTAAAATGCAAATTGGCAGACACTACTATATAGGGAACAGGAATGGGGAAGTACTTTTAAAAAAGAGAACAGGGGGCATGTTGAAAACATTTTATACTTTTTGTTAGATATTTCTGCTTCACTTGACACTACTGACCACAGGAGTTTAAATCATATGCAGCCTTGTGCTGTGAAGTTGTGCTTGTGAAGTTTGTTTATATTGGATGGGCTTGTTTCTTATCTTTAAACTCTAAGCTCATCTGTCTCAGTGGGCAAGTATAATTCTGAGAGGGATACTGTGTAGTGTCAGTGCTCCTCAATGTTCTATCATTGATCCTCTTCTTGTTCAGGCACTTAAGAAATCCATGACCAAACGTCAAATCCACCCAGCTGCATTGATGTTCTATCACCAGCTACCTTTAGGGGAATCTTGATAAAAACCAGCTAACGGCAGCTTACAGATTCAAAGCCGCATTTACCTAAAAGAAGGGTGATATGCACATCTGGGGGACACCTTAACACCTTAAACCTCTCAGAATCACTCCATGAAGATAATGAAACTGTAATTAAAAAAGGGTCCTTTATCCTTCTTTTTATGGTATATTTCTTATTAACCTTAAGATTCCAAACTACCACTATCTGGAGTACCATTTACCTTGTTAACACCTGTTCAGAACACCTGAGTACAACTAGAGACGCAGTAATTCAGAACAAAAGAAATAAGTATTTCCAGCTTCTTGTTAACAAGAGAGGAATTTTAACTAGTGGAGCTATTTGCCAGGAGATTTCATAATTCCAGGCTCCACAGTGGCATGAACAAATTAATGATCTGTAAAAGTCAATTTATGACTTCAAGGAGGTTTTTTTCCGATTCCATGATGGAACAAAGCAAAGCTTTGTTTTAAAAAGTTAAGCACAAACCGTATACAAGGAGGAAAAATAATTTTACTGAGGACAAAATCAGTACAAAACACATCTGTTCAGAGAGCAGTGGTTAAAAAACCCACATAAAACATGAAATGGCACATAAAATAGACAGAGAGAGAGGCGGTTGGCTTATGAAAACCCAGAACTAAAGTGAAAAAAAGGAAAAGTCTAGTCTTAAATGTCTTATTTGAAGGCGTTTGGAAAAAGCTGGAGAAAAACTGAAAAGGAAAATGTGGAATGAAATGAAACACCGTGCCGTTTTATGTGCTGTTTCCAAATGGATGGGAACACCCACTTTATAAAATATAAAATGAAAAAAGTGAAACGGCTGGGAAAGCAGGGAACTCCACCCTGAAGGTAAGCAGGACAGACCGAGGGGGATAAGAAGTGATATTCCCAGACTCCACATATTCCAGATCTAGCTGTAAAAGGCCATAAGAATCAAAGCAAAAATAGATTTTATATTGATACTGCATTATGGTCTACTACCTACCATGTGTGATACCACACCACCTACAGTACTACCATTAAGAAAGATCATTCACAACCTTCATCAGCATCTATCCTGCCTTCCTATTAAAGTTTTGACTTCAAACTCAAGATCATTAAAACACACAAGAAGAAGCTTTTGTGATGATCATTTTACCACACTGATGATTTTGCAGATTTGGCTCTATTAATGTGCTAGAAAAAAAACACTAGAGGCATTGAAAAGAACATTAGGAAATTAGGTGTTAAATTTAGACACTTTAATTGTGTAATTCTCTCAGTTTAAAATGCAAAAAAACAAAATGAGTCCGATTGTTGCGGATGTATGCTTTCACAGAACGGGTGAGGGGGGTGAGAAGGTTGCTAAGGAAACCTGTAAAAACACGGATCTGAGGAATGAAGGATTCATGAAAGGCACGTGACGCAAAGTTAGTGCGCAGTGGGAGAGGAAGGAGGGGAGGTGGTGGGGGGGTTCAAAGTTGATTTTATTCTAACAATAGAGTCAGCAGGGGATTCTGCCACTTTTCCCTACACAATGTTACCCCCATGCAGAATAATAGCAGGATTCCGACACTCAACAGATGGCTCTGAAAACAAAGCTTGGTATTATCTTCCAAACCAGATGCAAGGACCCGCAAGAGCCTCCAATTAACTATGTTAATTGCTAAAGCAGTCAGCATGACAAGAACATTTCTAACTGTATTCTAACTTTCCTAACCAATTGTGAGTGTTTTTCTGAAATTTAAGGTTGAAAAGCAAAGAATGGTCTAAAATAAGCCATGAAATAAACACAAACTACAAAACTGAAAATTACTTGAAACAGCTGTACGTGATGATCTGGAGAAGCATTAGAACTTTTTTGGGGGTTTCTGCATTGTTGAACTAGTTGGGCACAGAACACTCAGCAAGCGTCTGACATACAGTATCTGTTGGCACTTCTCAGATATTGGGGCAGGCATTGCATGAAAAGAATTTCAGGCACGTAATTAGTTTGAATACATAAAGGAATTAAATTATTATGAAGTCAAACAATGTACAACTGACTAAAACGACTACAGAAATCTGTAGTCACAATAAATAATGGAAGGTATCTGCAGAGGCCAAATTGCATTTGGAGGTATGATTCACCGGGCTCATGCTGCGGAGGATGTATTAAAAGTACTTGACAAAGGCCAGTCCTAGCACCTTCATTTCTATTTAAAACATTCTGTACTGTAGCACCTGGACCAGGCAGCATGTAGCAGAAGGCACTACACTAATGGAACACTCACACACAGATCTGATAAGCAGCTGTGTGTGGGAGTGAGACACCTTAGATTAAATCTATCCCTTCTTATTATAGGAGGCATAATTAATGGAGCATTACGTATACACTCGCGTCTTCTTGATGATCAAATGACTGTCAGTACTAGCAGAACCAGTGGCCATGAACAATTCACCTGCCTAAAGACTTTTTCCAAACCACAGACACCGTCTCACCTGTTGGCGCTCTGTCTGCAGCAGTCCCAGTGCCACCTGCCTCTTCAGTCCTCTGCCAGCTCGGGGTGCTCTTGCCACTGCTGCCCATTTCCACCGTGCTCTGCCGATCCACCGAAAGAGGGGAGTGCCGGCTGCCACCAAACCTGTCAGGGAGCAGGAGTGAAATGGCGCACCTGTCTTCACGGGTTCCACTATTTCCAAAGGAGGAAAAAAAGCAACTACAGTTCACTCCAAACATATTGGGGCAGCAAGGTCAACACTCCTCCTACTTATGTTTTAATCAATCAATTTGTATTTGTGATCATAAGATTGCTATGAATGCATAAACAATAAATGTTTTATTTTGAGGCAATTTCAGGAATACATTTGATCATATTAGAACAAAAACATACTTTTTTTATGTTGAACCTGGTTGTTAGATTGAGTGTAAAAGTCAGTTTTTGGTTGCATATCCATATAACTGCGTGAAGTTTGCCCGCCACTGAGTTCAGCAAACTTTTTTTTTTGTAACTGTGTTTCAGATGCTTTGCTGCTGCCACTTTGTGTTGACAATGGCTTCTTTTGGGTCATTGTCATGCTACACTGGGAAGCACCGCCCAAAGAATACGAAAGCATTTTTGTCTCTACAAGCTGACAAAATATTCTGTCAGGTTCAAATTCATTCTGCTGCTCAATAAAGATGGGCGAGCCAGTTCCAGGGTCGGGCACTTCACAAATGAAGTGGTGTTCTTTGGAGCTTTTGGAATTCCTTTCTTTGTCCATGCATTAACCTTTCCATCTCTTGGGATATCTTTGTACCTCTGAGCAAAATCAGAGGCCTGATGGAGGTAATACGAAGGTCTGATACACAAGACCACCTCTGGGAATGATGAAGACAAGGTCAAAAAGTAATGTGTCCTGGTTCTGACATGGCAATCAATGAGCAGCTTGTCCCATTCTGAAAGACGACTCAGTAAAATACATATATAATGTAAATTAATTCCTATATAGAGCCTTTCATACATGGACATCTCAGAATGCTTTAGCAAAATTAAAATATGGTGTAAATCCAATGCAACTACTTTACATCTTATGCTTTCAAAGCTTAAAGTGTACCCAGGAAATCAAGCAGAAGAGGCAAGACTGAAAACTAGATGAAATTATGTATTAATAAAGAATGCAACATCTTATATTTAGAAAGGTAGATGACTAAATAAAAGGCATTTTAACAAAGTCATTAATAATTTGTAGCCTGCTCTCACGAACTTAGGTCTTTTCTCAGTGAGGAAAGTTTTCGTATTACATAATTCTAAACAGAATGTTTAAAGAAGGCACAGTCAGCACTAGCATCTTCATTAATTTTATAGATGTTTCCTTATAAAGTCAAAGCATTTACATGAACAAATTTGCCAAATTAACCTCAAAGAGACTTGCAGTCACACACCTTTAAAACCAGAACAGTGGAAGAAGTCAATGCAATGCAACAGTTCTGCACTTTTGTTTATTTTCTTTAACTACCATGTGTGCAACAGGAACAAACACTGGACATTCCTGTGGTTTATCAATGTCACAGGAGTTTGCTGAAGCTCTCTGCTTTTTTTCCCCCCAAACAGTTCTAAATCCCTACTGTTTTTGTTTTTTTGTTTTGCTTTTCAAGTGAATGCAATAAAAAGTCTGGTTTCTAGTTAAGTGAGTGTTTTTAAACAGACACAATACAATTCCAAGTGATGGGAAAGAAAGAAATATAATAAAAAATAAACGGATTGCTAGATTCTGTTCCCGGACATTCTGAGAACAGAAGAAATCAACACAATAGTTTGACTTTTCCCCATATAATTTTAAGACGCTGTTCCTTTGGATCTGGTTTTGCCAATTCATAATTTATTGCACTTTATGACCTGAGCAAAATGCAATGCTTTTTTTCTCATGGTAACACTTCAATGGTTCCTTGAATGGAATGAGTTGAAGAATTATATAAGATGTAATTATAACAAATAAATGACAAGTAGGGAACTTTACCTAAGGCTTTTACTGTGGACTGGGTTGCACAGAGCTTAAAAGCTAATATTTTCATTCTAAAAGGTTGTCCTTCAAGTATTTATGAAATAATTGCTGAAAATGAAATGGAAAAGACTGCAGCAGAATAGCATGTTTCACGGCAAGGTTCCAGAATGAAAACTGCACAGCAGAACAGATAAAGCCTGCCAGGACCTTACCCTTCAGGCATGGATTTCTGGCGCCAGTGTGAGCTGCCTCCTGAGCCAGTATCACTGGAGTAGGAGAGGCTGCTGGGAGAAGTCCTGTTGTGCTGTGCACGACTCATCACAATTGAGGACACCAGAGCGTAGTTACTCTCAGAACCAGGAGAGAACCTAAGTTCAAACAAAAAGGAGATCTGTCCTTTTCTGCATTTAACATGCCTTTATCTGCATCTACAATGAACAGAACGGTGACAATGTTCAAAACAATTAGATGGCCCACAGATTAATTGCAGCCCTTCGCCGTTATTATGTGCCATACCATTAAATCGGTTTGTAATGGCACCCATGCTTAGACCATATGACTAAAAAAATTGTAAATTCCCACTTCAAAAACGGCAATGCACATGCCAAATTCCTCTTTGTATCTTCAAATCTAATCTTGAGAACCTACAGAACCTCGACCCTACCTTTTGGGGTCGAGCGGGCGCCCATCACTAGACACGCTCCGAGGGATGATGCCAGCTCTTTCTGGCCTGTCTGGAGGCTGGGCCTTGCCCATGCTGCCCCCGAGAGAGACAGCACGGCTGGGTGTGCCCCCATGGCTCTGTGGGGATGAGGTGAGGGACTGCTGAGGGCTGGAGGCTGTGCGCTGCCACTTGTTGTTGTTCCGGAAAGGGAACTTGTACTCATAGGGCACCCCCTCGTTATTGGCCTTGTACTCCACCACTGGCATCCGGTACATCTCAGAGCAGCCTCTGCAAAGTTTAATGATTCGGGAAGCTTGAGAGAAACATTTTGAAGACTGGAACAAAAAGTTAATTTTCCATTTCTTTTAAGAATAAAGAGTAAAGGTTGCCAAAAAAGCTCTCACCAGACTGAGGCCAGTATTTACATACTAACAAGAGTATGCTGTACAGTGCCAAAAAGCTCAAATGCATTAGTCAGCTTTAAAAACAAAATGTTATATCTCCCTCTGCCCTTCTTTAATTCAAAGTTCAAGATATTGAGTCTTATTTTTACACTCTGTAAGTTTCCTTGCGCAAAAAATCAAATCCTAGCTTTCTAAGATAACATGCATCAGCACAACAGAAGCGCGGAATTCACCATCTTGATAGTGGGGGCCTTTGCTGTATCCTAATATACAATTAAATTAATTAAACATATCTGTTGATCTATGTAAAGAGGAAAAAAAGGCAGCAAAAACTTTTTTTCAGACATTTGTAACTACATTTGTATTTAATATTTGTATTAAAATCGATCTAGAGCTGCTGGAAGAGGTGGTATTTGCTTCTCAGTGTACCTGCGGGGAGTGGCATCATCATGTGGCGGGATGATGACCACCTTCACGGTCACCGATGTCCTCAACAGGTCGATCATCTGCTCGTGAGACAGCGTGGCCACCGCGACCTTGCAGATCTCCACCAGCCGGCTGCCCTGGCGCAGCCCGGCCTGCCACGCATACCCGTAGGGCTCAACTTCGGCCACAATGCCCTCATAGTTCACATGGAAGCCCAACTGACCCAGCCCATTGCGCCGCAGCGTCATCTCCGTGGTCTCACACCCTTTTGTCAGGAACTGAAACCAAAGCATTTGTTTAAGGTAGGGTCTGTAAACGAGCTGAATAAAATACTCTAGGCCAGAATTTATATTTAGCTCAAGTGTCAGGCAGTCAGAATCAGTACTTCGAAATTGGATGTGATCTCCTGCACCAAATAAAGTCCAAGACCTAGTTACTATATTGAGAGAGAAAAAAAAATGCTGGATAAACAGGATTAACTTCATGAAGTCCTCCAGTGATTTTACTGTCACTCACCGTTTTGCTGACAAAGGTAACCAAGCTGGTGCATGCTATGCATAATTGTGTAGACGCTGTCAAGAAACCTACTAGAGTCCTGGCCAAGAGTTAATGAGACATTAAATGACTGCTGATCACTCCCCAGGCTATCAGTGCTTTCTGGGCATCAGAAATAATTAAAGAAATCTAAAATATGGGAGAATTTACAGATCGTATAAAAAATGAGCAATTTCACATTTTTATATTATGTATTTTTTCACAGTTGATCCATGTTTTGTGCCACAACAAATGTCAAAATGTCAATGAATTGTCAGGCATATCAGCTTATGATATAACAAGAAAAGTCATGAAACAATAATGACAGTTTGGATTTTTTTTATATTTAACATGTGACTTGAACCCCAGAGCCCATTACCCACTGCAGTCAGCAAGTTCTTAAGTCTGTAAACTTCTTAAAAAAGCAACTTCTTAAGTCTGTAAAACAGTGAGGGAAGCCATAAGGAAAGCACTTGTAGTAAGTGTTCCTCATAGCCTAGAACTGCATACAACTGAAGTAAAAAATAAAAGGGTTTAGAAGCAAGGCAGAGAGTGCAATACTGCCCTTGGCTTTGATATGAGGCAGAATGCTAAAACCACTGCATTTGTCACTGGGATTGTGGAATTCCCATTTGCTTTAAAAAATCTAGAACTGTCTCACAACTGATAATTAACTGGATCATCAGTATAATCGTCATATTAGCTCAAGAGGGATGTCAACCAAATGGATTTATCAGTCTGTCCATAATGAATAGTGATACATGAGAACACAAATGGAAACTATGTGGAAGTGCGCAAAACAGACAACAGGAGGACTTATTTATTTCAAGACCATTAACCATTCTAAAACAGAGGATTAGGGGACCAAATGGACTAGATGGACCCAAAGTGCCAGGAGTACTATTATTAAGACCTGGAGTAAAAAGGTCTTACAACACCATACGTCACATGGGTCTTATTAACTTTCAAGGCATTGACTGAAGACTTTCCTGCAAGATTTAACAACAAATACAAACATTTTCATTAACTCTTTGTGTAATTCAGAATGGAAATATCCCCAAAGGACTGTGATACTGATGAAATATAAAAATCAATTTTTATAGTTAAGATCAGTTAGTGCCGTGCATTTGAAAGAAAAAACCTAACTAAAGGCAAGTATTTTATGTAAACTGTAGCATAATAGAACTAAGTAAAAACAGACTATTATCTACCTGTTTAAGGTTCATGACCCCAGGTTATAAAAAGGTAGTCATAGCGGGAACCCAGCATTTGCAATGTTTAAATACTGTAATTCTACCCCCAGACACTACAAACAGAGGCCCTCTGTTTTTCTGAAAATTATCCAATTCAGAAAATAATAGCTTACGGTTACATTTTATATATCTGATGACAGTTTAAATGGAAGGGCACTCTAACTTCATTTGAAGAGGCACATTTATTCTTCAGCCTTTTGAAATATATTTACTGTATACTGTACTCAGAGAGATGAAATACCTACCTCCAGGCGCTTGATGACCTCTCTGAAGTCCTCGGTGTTATTGTTCACTGAACGCAGCGAGATGCACTCCCCTCTCTCGTAGAAGACCTTCAGGGAGGCGGGGCTGCTCAGGGTCCAGCCGATAACGTCGCGCACAGAGCAGTTGAAGACCACGCTCTTCGCCTCCTGGTCGATGAGAACCATGAACTCGTTGGAGATGGCCAGTAGGCAGTCCAGCTCCGAGCCACAGCTGTAGTCTTCGGCATGTACCGGCCAGGAGATGGACCCCGAGCTGCGCAGCTCAGCCCCGCTGTACGGGCGACTCTTCTCCTTGCGCTTGGACGCCAGAGAGATGAAGGGGAACTTGCCCGAGGGGTCGATGGGGGTACTTGTGACATGCCGTTCAGCCAGGTCCCTCAGGTACTCCTGGCGTGTGCGCGTAGCCATGGCCCTGAATTTTTCCGACTTGTGTGCAGCGTTTTCCGCGTTGATGACCTTAGCTAACAGGAAGTCCCGGAACACAGTGGATTTGGGAAAGGTCACGTTCTTAGGGATTGGAGGCCCAAAGGAAGGCACATCTCGGGACCGAGCAACAGCCACACTGCAAGACAGAAGGACATGCTTAATCCCGAAGACCCTCAGCTCAATTTATTGGAAGAAAGCTGCGGCACTATTTTACAATTAGTTTCATTTACTTTGTCACCAGTTATTTTCTTTTGCTAATGCTCTGCTGTTTGTAATCACCAAATATTAACCAGCTAAGCTTACTGCTACAATTTTCACGCAAGCACAAGAGAGATGAAAGCAATACACACCAGGCATGCACAATGTGTACTGCATGGTCATTGTGTAATTTTCAGTTCTGAATGAAAAAAGCATACAGCACAGCTAAGGCATCAAAAAAGGACTGATGTAGCTATTAATAAATCATAAATCTGCAAACCCCACAGTAACTGGCACGCCACAGTGGTCACTGTTGCACAACAAAAACCCCCCGATGGCACTTACGCAATTCTGTGCTAGCAGCTGAGCAGTCTATATCCCAATCAGGTAATGAAAACAAATCAGTCTGAACCAGCAATATTTAGACTACAAAGTGCAACAAGTATCCTGAATACAGGAGTTTACATGCTTACCTTCAAAATAACTCCTCTAGCAGAATTTTAAAAAACATTTCAGAACAGTCACTTATAAAAATACTCATTGTGAATTGTGAAAGGGCACAACTTCAGAATTTATTTTGCTTAGGGAAATTCTGAAGTTTGAAACAGTACAACCCTTGGTATATTAGTGCCACTTAAAAGTTCTAAAAAACACATGGACACGACTACACAGACACCTTAAGCAAGAACTTGCATTTGTTTCAAAAACACTCCTCTACAGGGTATGCTCTAACAAAATTGGAATGCCACAAAATGACAGAATATGACAACATCATAGTATATCACACAAACTGTATCTGCAGCTAATATATTGTGCCTAAGACAATAGCAGGGGAAGCCAACAGGCATTTTCAAATTTTATAGATATATCAAATGCAGCTAAATCGTTATCAGATGTACTTAATGCCACTGTTACTACATACCTAAGACAAATAACCATCATGACCAATTCAAGTGGGGTGTGTTTGGATAAAATCAACAAAAAGACCCTGATGGTGTCCTGCACCAGGGCTTGTAATGTCTCTAGACCATATTAGTATGATTTAATGTTCACCCCAAGTGAAGACTTTTACCAGTGAAGTACCTCTGGAAACCAAATAAGGAGGATTATGTAAAGATATACTGCAACAAAAAAACTAAATATTTCCTTTGATCATTTAACAACTACTGTCTTGATGACACCTATGATAACTTACATTTAATAAAAGGGAATTACAAATTGCATACTGGCAGTAAGATAAAACTAGGAAATTTATTTTTTTTTTTGCTTTTGTATACATCTTTAATGTTATACAATATCCAGGCAGATAAAAATCAAAATATTCTGAAAGCAGATTTTTTTCTTTTTACCATCCCATACTCTTAAGGTCTTTCCTAAATTACGATTTACACAACGAGGATTCAAATGGGGGCTGATTGGGATAAAACAACATTTTTTTTTAATAATGTGGAACATGCTATTGCGCTGCCTTAACTTTCCCCTTATTACATGTTTGTGGGATTCCTCCTTTAATATTTACAAGGTTTGCCGCCTCAACAAAGGTACCGCTACATTACTGCATATAAAATGTGGTCACATGGAGTGAGTTTGCCACCCCTACACACACACAAACCCCTATCCACACACCCACACATGCTTCCTTTCATTAATCTGCTGGAACGGACATCTAAAGCTTCCTGTATTGTCTGGTATGCAAAGAACCCAGTGCTGGATCTGTGGAGGGAAGGAATGAAATCCAGTTTGTTTTGACAATGTTTCTGGAAAAAAAAAACTGGGCTTCAAACTTGTCAAAGAGACAGGGGAAAATAGCGTTCCAATCCAGAGACCCCAGACCAGAAGGGTTTAACTCTCTGAAGGTAGCTTTGGTTACACAGCCCTGGAAGACATGAATACTGCTACCTCCTAAACCAGGAGGAATGCCAAAGCCCTGCTCAGGCAGAATAAATAACAAAAGCATGAGAAAGTAGAAACACTTTCGTCCAACACAGCACGGTAGCTTTTAGTTGGGTACCCCACAGAGGAGTTGCAGGAGAATGTCAATGAATGGCAGGGACCTTCATATTAAAGCCCACTTATTTAACAAATAAAACAAGAGGCTGCATCATTCTAAAAAAAGGGTCATCACTGTGTGCCAGACGATTCCTTTGTATCAGTCTATATCTGACTGTAGGAGAGAAATTCCCTTCTGCAAACAACTGAAAACCCTGAGAGTTGAAAAGATGCAGGCACTGAATTTAAAGAAAAGTTACTGTTATTTTGACTTAAGTTTTTCACAACCAGTACCAATTAAATTATGTTTTGGTTCATCTGTTTGATTTGTTGTATTTCATTAACATGTCACATCATGGAAAAATGTATTACAACTCAACCCCCTGGAGCACGTGTTTGGCAGTAGGACTACAAAATAATCAATATGGATTTAGAAATGGTAGGTCATGCTACAAATTCTCTGAACACTCAACAGCAGTAATGGAACAATCAAATAGAGCATATTTATAGTTTGTTTGAATTTTCGGAAGGCTATTGCTCAAGTTCCTTATAAAAGAACCAGATTAGGTACAACCAATGAGTGAATTCTCACAATGCGGTGGTGTAAAAGACCACCGATTCTTCCACATTTATATCATACAGATTATAATCAAGTTCACAGATTATAAAAAACAAACTACTGAATAAATATAATATTGGAAACACTGAGCATGAAACTCAGTATTTATGGAAATATTTTTTTATGTAGATATATTTATATTTACGACTGGAGCAAAAACACAAAAGTCAAACAAAGGATACACTGTTAGGATACACTGTTAATAGCAGATTTTAATTAAAATACAAACAGCAGAACCTCATTCAGAATACTATCCACAACTCTGGTCATCACTTGACATAAATAATCTGGAATATTCTCAATAATATTCTAGAATTACATAAATAATCTGGAAGCTGTCTAGATATATTCCCAGGCTTGTAGGTATGACATGTCCTAAATGAATAGGCTAAATGAAAATAAAATGTTTAGTCTTAAACAGAGAAAACTGTGAGGGAACATGACTCAAGCAAAGCATTCAAAAATCTGAAATACCCCCGATAAAAATTACTAAAGTGAAAAGACAAAAGCGTATTTCAATAAATACTCTTTCATATATACTGCATACACCATACAAGTACTGTTTTAGCATTTCTGATATTTTGCTTTATTGCTTCCAGCAATTTAGTTAATGTTGACCTTTGACCCTTTGGTCTTAATATGGCCTTTAAATGAGCTCAAGAGGCCTGTATGATGAGGTGGGCTACCGAATGGGGAAGCAACATAAACTCTTCTATTTTTATATATTTCTATTCACCTGTGTTAATCAAACAGTGCTCAATTGAGTAATTAAAAGTATTAGAGAGAGTTCTAAAACAGCATGGATTGGAAGATCCAAGGTTGCACACATCTAGTTGAGTAGTAAGGACTTGTATGTCCCTGAGGGATAACACTGAGTATCTAAAAAAAAGCTGCAAAGTGAACTACATTCAAGCTCTTGTCTACAAATCTGAAAGGCTGCTGAATAAAACCACTGCCCACAAGTTGTCTTTAGATTACTGTCCAACACGTCTCAAAATAAGCAGAAATGCCAGCAGCCCCATTTAAATCCACTGACATTTGGCTATATTAGATTCCTTTGCTGAGATGAATGCATATACCACATATTCCACACTTGGCACGACAGGTTATAATTATTTACAATCACAGAGTGCAGCGGTCAAACTCGTTCCACTTAGGAAGCCCTGTTCCCTTTCAGATGCCAGTTTCCCATGGAGCTCTACTGCTGTGGTGACAAGTGCAGAGAACAGAGATGTACTTGTACCTAGACAGAGGTAAGGTTCTTTGGTGAAGAACAGGGCGAAAGAAAAAAAAACTCAGCAAGGCTTTGGAATATGGCATGTCACTTGTCAACACAATCCAGACACCAGCTCCTCTGGGGAAAGGTGCAGTTGGCAGGAAACAAGGCTGCAGGCTGGCAATTTCGCTCAATACGGTGATTTTGTCTGCAATAGGTTTTTGTCTCTTTAAAATGCCACACGGTGCACTTAGCAAGGGAACAAGGCTCCCCAGGGGAACAATTAGACTAGTGCGTAATAAACCTGATTAGCAATTAGCATCCCCATTAGCTTGATGTTCTTGAGCAAAAGAAAGAACAATGGTGCTAGAAGTGACAGTCTGCCTTGTTTGCTGCTACTTCATGATTACAAAGCGTCCCTTTTTCTGTAGGGCTTAGAAAAAAAATGACATTTTAATTTGCTCTACTTCCATTTCTACTTGGTGAATTTCAAAGACTCTTCTATAAAGTAGACAAAAAATAACATCTGCTACATTAGTTTGAAGATGGTCTTTTATCGCTGTCAGGGAAATTTCCCTATTAATCAAGAGAGATTTGCTTCCACAATAATTCGACCCTTTATGACTATATTTTTTCCCCCCAAACACAAGCCTCCTAAAACAAAAACTCATGTATCCAAGAAACCTAGATCTGCCTCCACAACCACATAATTCATTTAACTCCCCTTTACCAACCATCCAATCACTTAAGGAAAATTATTTGGACAAAATATTGAGTATCTTCTTTATTATTAAAGCCATAGTATTGCAAACAACTATTACTGTAAACTGAAGAGAAATTACTAATTTTACTAAAAAGATTCTTCAAAGGAAACCAACGCAATGTGATTTACAATAAAGGCAGGAAACTGAACACTGCAACCTTCCTCTTAGTGTCTAAAAGGGTCTTTAAAAAACTAAATAAACCATTATTTCTTTGCATTCCCATTGTTATTAAGTTTTTATATTGCATGATAACAGCTTAACTTCCACCTTAGCAAGACTGGTGTAAATCTTACATTTCACACAAAAACTGCAGAATATAACTTAAGTAAGCTAAAGCCATGCCAATATCATAGCCTGTGAGGTTTATCTGAGGTGTGAATGTTGTTTGTGAAATTGTCACTATAAAATACAACTTGGTGTTCAAGAGCACAAAGAAGCATTTTCATACACAGGAACAATACAAATCCTGAATTGTCAAACTACATCAGAAAGTCAGTGGTGCTATACCTACCCCACGTCTATCAGTTACAAATCCTGCGTAAAGTATATTCCATCCTAGGGAATGCTTAACACCCTTAGATTAATTAATCATTTTCACTCACCTCAGAATGCAGTTACAGATTTCCCAATTTAAAAACAAACAGGTTTAAGTTTAAGGTTTAAGAACAAGATGATTTTTGTTCATATGTCTATGTTCTGCTGTTTTTTTTTGTTGTCTGCTGTGAAACAAATTGCCCCCTTGGGGATAATAAAAATCCCTCTCTCTCAATCAAACTCTGAAATATTTTAAACCACCATGTACATGCACACATTTAAATAGTGAGCAGACTGACTGAGTAGGACTGCTTGGATAACATTTTGAGCTGAAAATGCCAAAAAGCATTGAGCAAGCAACTATATAAACTGCCATTAAAAAGGACATGATTTTAATTAACACAAGAACAGAAAATAACTACCATGCCCTGCTTGAGTTTCTGTTGGCTATCACCATGATTTATGGCTCCCTTTCCATGGAAAACACTGCAGAGTGAGACATTCAGCACAAAAAACCTTTTCGGTAATCCAGAGACACTAGGAAACTAGGAACTGTGAAGGACTGAGCACATCCTGAAGGACAGAGAATCACCACACTGGCCTGGGACCATCACATCAGTCTGTGTAATCATTTTAGACTGTAGAAGCTACAGCATGAAAAACTGCAGGAAGAAATAACCTGAGTATCAGTGCAGTGACTGCAGTGTGCCTTGTGCATAAAAATGAAGCGCTCGAAGACCATTCGGACATAAGAGGTTGACAGCTTTCTTAGTTCCCAGACGGGAACTGTTTTGCAGGGGGGACAAAAAAAGATGGACACAAGACATAATACTTTTAACACAACATGAATCTATAAAAATAAAAAAAACAGTCCAACATAAAATACATAAAAAGTGAGCGAAACAGATACTTAAAATACATACAGGTACATGATGAAAATAAAATATATCAATCAATTAATTAGTTGTGCAAACTGAGCAGCCGTAGGAATAAAAGAGAACATCGTTCTATTGCACTTTAATCTAGGCAGTCTAAATCAACACCCTGATGCAAGGAGCTCAAACTTACTGTGCAAGGGGCGGTCATGGCAGTCAGTGCTTATACTGGCCTTCCACACTATTATGTAGATGTCAGCTAGCTGTAGCTGTTGTGCAGCAAAATCTCTACTGGCTACCTTCACTATCCTCCTCACTCTGATTTCATGACAAATACTATAGTTACCAAATAGCAGGCTACCAGTGAATGTTAAAACAGATATAATCAAAGTTTTATGGAATAAAGTCATTGTACTACACTCAATTAAAAGAGCAGAGGTTTCTCAAGAAGAACAGTTGCTGATAGCTCTTCTTACATATGGCATCTGTATTTTCCTCAACGATTAACTTGTCATTCGACGGTTAACGAGGCATTTCAACAACAGAGCCAGGCTATTTGTAACTGCTGAAAATTTCATGCTCCTAAATGACTGTTGATTTGACAACTGGTGGTTGCTTTCTATAATCAACAGATTATAGCTGTTAGACCATTCAACAAAAGAATCGGACAGAGTCCTATAGTCAGTGTCTACATCTTGGAGGAGATAAGGACAGCGTCATCATCAACTTTAATGAAGTTAAATGTTCCAAACCACTGTACGTACAGTTGTATGCAAATGTTTGTGCACCCCTGGCCAAATTACATGTTTTGTTGATTTTCTAAGTGAAAAGAAGTTAACACAACCTCTGCAGCAGCAAACTTAAACTTGACATATTTCTGCTAATTTTAATGCACAGTTACTATTTATTTGCTGAATTTAATAGATTGAAAAAAATAAAATAGTGAATGTGGCAAGTACAAAAGTTTGGGCCCCCTATCAGTCAGAACTTAGTAACACCTCCAAATAACAGCCTCCAAATGTTTCTTGTAGCCAGCTAACAGTCTTTATATTCTTGTTTTGGAATTTTTTCCCACTAGTTTTCCCACTATATTTCTAGTTCAGAAATATTCTTAGGTTGTCTTCCATGCACTGCATGTTTGAGATCTACCCACAGATTTTCAGTAATATTAAAGTCTGGGGACTGTAAAGGCCATTCCAAAACCTTAATCTTTTGTTTCTTGAAGTAGTTTATGGTTGATTTTTAGGTATGTTTTGGATCATTGTCTTGTCGTAATATCTAACCTCTTTTCAGCTTCAGTTTCTTCACTGACTGTGGGACATTAGCTTCCAGGATTTGTTGAAACTTAGTAGAATCCATTCTTCCCTCTACCCACACAATATTTCCAGTGCCACTGGCTGCCACACAACCCCAAAGCATAATAGATCCACCCCAATGCTTGACAATTGGCAAGGTTTTCTTTTCTTCAAATGCTTCTCCTTTTTTTCTCCAAACATACCTTTGGTGATTGGAGCTAAAGAGTTCAATTATGACTTCATCGGACCACAGTACTTGGTTCCAAACTGCCTCTGGCTTATCCAAGTCTTGTGTTGCATACTTCAGACGTTGACTTTTGCGATGAGATCGCAGGTAAGGTTTCCATCTGATGACTCTTCCATGCAGGTCATGTTTGTGCAAGCAATGCCACACAGTGGACCGGTGCACCACTACTCCTGTCCCAGTTGAACCTTCCTGCAGGTCCTTTGCAGTGATATGGGGATTTTGTTTTGCATTCCTGATCAGTCTTAGAGCAGTTCTATTGGAGATTTTTCTTGGTTTTCCAGATTGTCTTCACTTAAACATCTCCCCTTAACTCCCCTTCTTCTTTCTTAATGACATTTCAGAGAGTGGAAATTGCAAGCAGGAAGCGTTTAGATATCTTTTTATAGCCTTCCCCTGCTTTGTAAGAGTCAATTATCTTTATTTTCTGATCCTCAGTCAGCTGCTTAGAGGAGCCTATGGTTGTTGAGTGTAAGCACAACACCCTGAGAGGTTCAAAGAGTCAGAGAATTTATTAAGCTCTGGAATTGTCATCACCTGACTTAGATTAAGGCCTAACGAGTCAATTAAGTTCTGAGACCTTACAAAAAAAAAATAACACTAGTGGATCAACTGGAAGGGTGTCCAAACTTTTTCACATGCCACATTTCATGTTTTATTTTTTTCAATCTGTAAATTTAGCAAATAACCAGTAACTGTGCTTATTTTGCATTAATATGTCAAGTTTAAGTTTGTTCGCTGCAGAGGTTGTGTTAACTTCTTTTCACTTTTTAAAAAACATGTAATTTGGCCAGGGGTGCCCAAACTTTTGCATGAAACTGTATAAAGAATGTACAGGATGGATGATAGCAGAAAGATTGCACACAAACCAGATGGAAGAACCAAACCGCCCTGACATAGAAACACCTCTCTGACAGCAGGTGAGAGGTGGTGTGTTTTAGTTCCAATGACTCTAGCTTTGCCCATGACAGACCTAGTGGAAAATGCCATGATGACCATTATGCTGACTGTTGCTTTGATGAAGCCAACCAGCGGGGTAGATGAAACTCAATCATGTGAGAAGGTACACCTTTAATACCAGAAAACCTCTGATAGAGACTGAGGGCAACCTTACTGCACAGAGGTACAGGGACAAAGTCCTAAAAATAACAATGTTTCTGTTCCTACCTGCCAATACTTAAGTATTTCTTAATAGGGCAATGCAAGCTCCAATACAATATCCATGGAATCAACTTGCCCTCATCACCAACAGGAGACAACTGTGAGTGGCAAATCCTTACCAGCCGGCTGCAGCTACACAATAAGAGTGGCAGAATATTCCACAGCAGTCTCTCCAATGGATAATTAAGTCACTGTTGCAAGACCGTGTTAATGTTCAGGAAAAGTCATATCTTAAATTAGCTTTGTAATGTTTTTATTTTGACAGTGTGTCACACTTCAATCTAAAATTCTCTGAGCTTCATTTTTTCCACAATTTCAGTGATTTTGATATCTAAATGTAAAACATCTGATTAACTATATTAGGTCTGAATGTTTCAGTTAAATACGGACATTTTTTTTAAAATGGCGATTCCATTTCATCAAAGCTTTTATGAAAAGCTTATACAACAGAACATTTCTAATACTATTGCATAACTAAAAATCCAAATTTACAGTCAAGTGAAATTGTATTTTCAACTATTGGAAAAACTTCAAAATGGCATAACCTGTTGCCTATGCACATTTATAAAATAGTAGCTGGATGCTAAAATGTGCTAAAATGAACCCAAAATTCAACCTCGTGCTCCATGGTGCTATGCTTTACCTGTAGCAGGTGTTGTCTGAGCAGGGGTTGTGTACCCGGACGATTACAAAGACGTGCTGAAAATGGGAGCGGATGTTCTTGGGGGTGAAGGGTTGGGCCCCAGGTTCCTGAAACACGATGGTCACGATGTCGTTCCCGATGTGACGTTTCCTCAGCAGCTGCAAGACCAGGAAACCTGTATCGTGTGCTTGTGTAGGGAGACTTTTTCAAATGGCACTATGAGCACTTCTTCAGAAACCTTAAATCCAATTCATTTACAGATGGTGCTGCCTTGTCATTCTAAACCCAAACTGAGGTTACATTATATTGAGTAAATTATTACTAAGCAAATTATATAAATGTCTCTGTTGTGCAGAGCACAAAATATCACGGGGTGAAAATCAAAAATCTAACTATTGCAAGCAAGATCCAGTTTATGTAGGAAAGCAATTCTATTTAAATGCATTTCTCCCTAACTTAAAAGACTTTACATGCAAAGGAAAACCTCACTGGAAGTATTCTAACAAACAAAAGAAGGGACTGGGAGGAAATAAAGGAGTGGACTGCAGTTACACATCGTCTACAAACAAGTTGAATGCTTTTTCCCTTTTAACTGAAACTCACTGAAAAAAAACTACATTCTTGATCCTTGCCTGTGAAACATCCCTAAGTACTTAGGCCTGATATGTGAAATACTACTAAATAAATGGGGTATAATGTTACCTGCTGTTTATTGTTAGGCGTATAGGGCAGCATGGTGGACACATGGAACATGATCTCATAGTCTTTATATGTCGTGTAGAGAGAGTGGGTCCCAGTGGAATCCGCTGTAATTAAGCAAGACAGGAGTTTCAATTCCACTTTATCACCACTAATGCTGGTATTTTTACATCTTCTGCACTTCTTTATCTCTCTTTGATTCTCAAAGAGAATAATCTCACCACCCCATTTCCTACCTCAAATTTCAAAACACAAACAGGTCAATGGCACTATACTTATAATCTATAATTACAATCAGAGTCATTGCTAAAACTAATTTTTGCTATAAACAGAGTAGTGGATCATGCTTGACAACTGTAGCACCAGTAAATACATTATTGCATTAGGAAGAGCTGCATTTTCAACTGTGTGCAATAAAAGGGCATTTGTTCAGTAAAGCCGCTTGTAACAAACAGCAGCAAAGAAAAACAAGTATCCAAAAGACACTTGTTTCTGTGATTCTACAGAAAGCATTACATTTCTGACTCCGTGATTCAACAAACTATTGAGAGTGTGTCTTAGAAGACTGCCTGTCAGGATTAAGTGATGTATTATGGAAATTTCATTTTCATCCTTTAGTTATTTATGGTTAGCAATTATCTAATTAAGCATCTGTACATGTCAACAGGTTTCAGATAAAATCTCTTCCTGACCTCACCTGTTCCCAGTCACAGCACACAGCAACTCTTAATTCTCTGAGCATCACCTCAGGCTGTAGCCTAACCCCCCCACCAGGCCCAGGCAGGACGTACTCTTGGTGTCGAGCTGTGCCCGGTACTTGGTGAAGCCCTTCAGTCGAACCCGCTCCCCCAGCAGCTGCAGGAACTCCTCCATGGCTGGTCCTGCTGACTCGTTGTTGTACATTTCCTCCTCGCTGCTCTGGCCCGCCTTGCAGTACATGATGCCCACCTTCAACTGAAAGCTAAGCTAAGGAAGGAGAACGCAAACAGACCAGTTAGGCTGATACAAAGAAAAGACGTATTCTTCTCAAGTCGGAGGCATCATTTTAACCCATGAAATGCAAGGGATGCTTACATTTCAATGCAGCATGAAATTCAGCCTGATTTTTTTAAAGTTATATTTTTTGCAGCACAATATATAAAAAATATATGCATACTCTGTGCATATAACTGTACATATAAAGCAGCTCCGTTTTCTACAACAGATGGGCATTCACCTATCCCATCTGTTCAACAACCCCATGCCGCAATTCTTTACTTTACTTCAATCATCTTGAATTCTAGACATGACACCAGGAGCTATTATCGTGTGAAGGTAGTTCGACAAGGCAACAAAAACTCCGCTTGTTGTTATCTCACTAAACAGGAGATGCATTTCTTTTGGGGAAAAAACAAACAGTGTTAATGTTTTTCCTACCCCCTGCTCATCTAGCTTCATCAGCTGCTCAGTAACCTTGGGCGTGTTGAGGGCGAGGCGCAGGCAGTGTACATTGAGCTCTGGCACAAGGTACTCCAGCACCTCTTTAAGAGGAAGCCCACGCGCTGTGCCATGCTTCGAAGTGGAGGGCACCGCATCCTCCAGGATGGACCCCCTCAATGTGGTCAGCTGGATTAAAGACACAGAGGTCAGCAAGTGAAGAGGTTACAGAGCCACAAAGGAGAAGGGGAATGCCATTCAGTGAGCCCGAGTATCAGTGGATCATGTAAAGCACATGACCTTCATCTTTTATAGTGATTCAGAAAATGAATAGAATTGAACAGAGATTGAAGGAACAAAATGTCTTCTGTGTGATCATCTGTATCTCTGGGAATTTACCTCAATCACCTTTGTTAGGCCACATGATAAATGTAAACCCCATGAAAGCAATCCCTATTGAAGACATTTCTGGGTCGAGCACTATCAACAAAGGGCAACAGTTCTCACTTTACAACAGCCAAACAACTTGAGGTCACGGACTGCTACGAGGGTGTGGAACAGCCAGGAACTACTGTGCTTTGTTCTGCAAACCATAAGATGGATTATTGTGACCTGACAATAATGTGTATTATTCAGGATTGATTTTGGAACCCAATAGAAAAAGTATGTTCATAGTAGACTGAACTGTATATGAACTCTGGTCTCATATGCTGCTAGAAGGCAAAGACGTCTCTCTCTTGCACACCCTGACTCCAAACCACCAGCACAAAACAAAGGGATATTGTGCCCATGGTAAAAAGCCTCTTCCTGTGACAGAAGAAAATCTACATTAAACCTGGCATCCAAGTTTTGGGTAAAACAATGTTAGGTGAGAAGAGGCAATTTATTGTTTTCCAGGCTGCAGCTTTATATTCTCACCTGCAAGAAACCCTCTGCTCTCATGGGAGTGAAAGCAGATAGCAAAGATCCTGTTCTTCTAATAGATGGCCTACTTTAACCCTAACCTAATAGGATCCAGAATAATGGTACTGAAAGGCAGACTTCTCTAGTTTTGCAAACTACATCAAAAAATGATGAGGCCTTAACAGCAGTTGACACTGCAGTGTGCTTACAAGGACAAACAGTTGCACTGTGTGAGTGAAGTAGATTGTTACCATTACTGATCTTATATCAGTCACTTAACACATGATGTCATGTTATAACTCTCCTCACATTCATCATGATGATGAAGAAGATCACTTTACTGGCCATATATAATTTCTTGTATTCGGAATTTGTCTTTTCGCATACCCCAACTTGCTCTCCATAAGACATACAGACAGGGAGAGAAGCTTGGGGTCAGAGCGCAAAGACAAATGTACTATCATGCAGTTCTATACAATGCTTAAAACAAAAAGATCTTTCCAGTCTTTCCATATCAAATTGCCCACTGTTTGCACATTTCAAGGAAATCTGTTCAGGTTAAATTTGCATTCCATGACATGATTTGATAATGCATTTAATTAAAAAAATATTTTAAATAGCATACAAATATACACATATATTATAGATTTATATACTGTTTACAATCTGACCTTTAAGAAAATTGAGATACTACATTGCCCTGCAAAAGCAACTAGACTTTCTTATGGTAATACAAATTACAAAGGCAGGCATATGCATCTGTTTAAATGTAATATTTTTTTCCAAAACCTGAAGATTCAAAGGACTTCTAAGGGTAAGAAAGCAAATGTCAACATGTTATGTGGAAAAAAAACGGAATTACTGATTGCATACATATTCAGACCTGTGATATTTGGTATCATGATCATGATGAAAAGCAGAACTATAACACACTGCTGCCAACACCATGCTTGACAACAAGGACAGTGTTGACTGAGTGATGCACATTGCTGGGATTGCACAAGATCCAGTTTTATATAAAAAAGTTCCAGTTTTGACATCTGACTACAAAACCATGTTTGCACTATAATTTAACTATAACGTGCCTTTTTGAAGGATATGAAAGTTTCATACAAGCCCCCTTTGTGGAGCGACTAGGATATTTTGAGACATGGACATTAGTCTCAGCCACTAAACTATCGAACTCTTTTAAAGTTGCTGTTATGCTCACACATAGAAGCATCCCTAACCAGTTTCTTCCGAGTTCAGCTGATCAGTCTGGAGGGACATCCTGATTTACAGTAGGCAGAATCTGGGTGGCTTCTACTTCTTAATGATTGGCATCACTATGCTCAAATAAATTTTAAGGGTTGTTTTATGTCCTCCTGATCTGTGCCTATATACAACAATCCCTGAGTTGTTGTGTAAGCTACTTGGTCTCCATGGTTGAATCAGTTCTTCCAATTCACTATCTGACTGAGGGACCATACAGAAAGGTACATACATTTTTAATCCTGGGGCTGAATAAAGTATTTGGAATTGAATTGAATTAAACCACTATAATTGCTCACAGACAGAGGCAACATGTCAAACTGTATGGCTTGTTAGGGCAATTTTGTATACCGAATATATTTAGGTTTGTCACAGGAAAGGGTCAGAATACTTGTGCAATCATGTCTTTTCCATTTTTCTTTCTTGCTTTGTGCTGTGTGGAGTAGGTTGTATATATAACAAATGCTAATTGGTACTTCAACATGTCATGATGGCAATGAAATATGAAAACTGGGCAAGGGCCTGAATACTTTACAAAACACTTTAAATATTACATTAAATTGTTTTGTGTTTTAAATGTTTTAAACGAAAGCTAACAAAAATAATTTTAATAAAATCTATATCAATATCTAGAGCTATAAACTCAAAGCTCGACTCAAATTTAATTTTAGACCAGGGAAATCTTCTAAACTTGCTGGACCATATAAAATGGTATAGAATATTAACCAGGTTAACAAATAAGACATGCATATTCAATTAACAATGTTTTTTTCCCCTACTCTGAGACATGGCAGGCTACCTCAGACTAAATTACTTAAAGCCTTATTTCTTTCTTGATGGGTGTCAGAATTACATTTCAGTTCAAGTCACTGCAATTTATAAATCAGGAGTAACAACTTTATCTTATGTTGTTGTTCTGTTAAGACTAATCATGGAATTATGCTGACTGAATCAGTTTGCTAAATTGTAATTATTGCAACTTTCACAGAATTCTCTTCAGATTTACTTCAGAAGAGGCTCCTTGGATTCAGGAAAGTATATGTGGAGCAGTGCCATTATCTGACAATGCTCTCCCTTACTGCTTAAGGCCCTGCAGGAGGCTGAAACACATAGGCTGCAGTGTGGCTCCTACCTCACTGGTCCGGAAGATGACACGGAAATTGTACTGCTGTCCATGATCCTTATTGTCTTCGAGTTTCTCTCGGCGGAGACTCACGGCCACTGGCCCAATACTCTCATCCACCCCAAAGTAATTCCAGTGCTCTGGGAGGAGAGAACAGAGTGAGACACCAAGGGAAGACAAATCAGAGAAATAATAAGACAAGAGCCTGTCTTCCCTGTACGCCAGAAAAGTGGTTAAATTAAAGACAGTGGGAAGTGATAGATAGGAATACAGGGCCCTAAAAACAGTCAACAGTTTAGACCCAGGAAATTGGGGAAAACGTGGCGATTAGAGCTGATGGATTGAATACAAGTGAATTCATTGGTAAGAACTGAAGGAAGAGGTATAGGACGTCAGTTAGAAATGAGGGAGTTTAATGCAAATTGCTACAGAGTTATAGAGTAAGAGAAAGAGATTCTTCTGCCTGCACTATGATGAACCAGATCACTCCTTCTTGCCGGATTTCACTCCTTCTTAACAAGACTGGCAGCACAATTTTCTTTTCACTTGTGTTTTCACCCAGTCAGTGCAAGAATTAAAAAGGTATTGCTTTCATCAAGGAGCCAGAGACAGGCTGAGATGAGAGCTGAACTGCTAAGTAATGGGGCAAATTGTCTTCATGTCTATTTACTATGAGCGAACTGAAGGGAAACAGGACCCAGAGGGGCTGTTAGACACTCAGAACTAATTGCAGGCGATACCTAAGAGGAAAAACGATTCTGACAGGGTCTGCCCCTTGCACAGAGATTCCCTGAGGTATAGGAGTCAGGGGGAAATGGAACAGGCAATATGATATATGCTCCTCTGACAGAGCTTTCTTCCTGGGGCACAGACAAAAAGATGCCCGTGTTTCTTCAACTCGAAATATCTCCTGATGAACACAAGTCGTTTTTTCTAAAATGGTTAAATTATTCAATTTCTTAACTCTCTCATAAATGACTCACACTGGGTTAGGGGTTCCACGTAATGTATATGATCTATTGCATGATCTATGTGTTCAATCACAGAATCACAAACGCCAGGACTGTGAACAGTTCCCCATCCTCCAAAGAACGGTTACCCTTACTCGCAGTTAATTTTGATTACAGTACCTAAATACCTAAAGAATTAGGTGGCATAGGAGCTTAAAAAACATGTATTTAGATATCTCCTCCTGCAAGTTTTTAATCACATAAAAATTAACAGTTTTAAAATGCTGAAGCTTGCAATTTACGTCCGTCAATACAAAAGGCTGTAAAAAACAATGTTTAATCCAAGAACATCTACTGCATCACTAGTTATTTCATACTTTTTAAAATTCGTAAATGATAACATTTTTCAACAAATTCATAAATTAGTGCAAAATGTCTTAAAACCCAATTTAAAATGGGTCATTAGGAACCAATGTTCCTGAATGTTCCATGTACACAAAATGTTTAGAACTGATTTTTAATGAGCTAAGAGACTTGATGATGAAGGAAGGAAGATCTTTATTTCTACCCGTCATAAGCAGTCGCTGCCTAGAAGTAGTGATGAAATTCAAAATGTACTGACGTCAAAGTTACAGTGCTCCTACCTAAACTACACCATTGCTTATTACATGTTATTACCCATTACAAGCAGGACAGATACTCAATTGTAACTTTCAGGCACTGGCCCACTAAAACTAAGCTAGAAAAATAATGTTACAAGACAGGCAGCTCAGCTCACCTGAAAGTCTAAAGGTGCTTCCCTTCAAGCACTTGAGAAGATGAACAACAGATACGGAGACAAATATTTTTATATACAATTAGACTAATTTCGGTGTTCACCATTGACTGTGCTCAAGGCTGATTACTGTATATAATACAACCAGAGGAAACTGATGCACCTTTTTCTCTAAAACCACTAAAAAGAGCAGAGATATTCAGGACAATTTAAATTAATCTTTGAAAAATCCTTATCACTGAAATATTCAAGTGAAATTTTAACATAGACTGTACTTGTTGATCATATGAAGTTTGTCTGTGATCCCTTACGTATTCTCTGTCCATAAGGTACTATTGTGACCTTTTGACATGTTAACAGACTTGGGTAGTTTTTAGAGATAGGTTTTCTTTTCTTTGGCCACTATTCTATACAAGGATATTCCTTGTCCTCGCTTAGCAAGTGCTCAAGGAGGAGTACTAAAGGAGAACTGTAATCTTGGCCTCTCACAGCAGCTGAAAAACTTGTGGTTGGTGGTTGGATGGTCTCAGCACCACTAAAAACATGCTGGTTTTCTGATATGTGACTATGCATTCCCTCTTCTGGCATCACTGGACTCATTTCCCATTTTGATATTTTTTTCATGTGTTATAATATACGTTTTTATGTGGCCTTAGGGAGGAACCAGAAAGAAGGAGGGTATCCACTCATAGCATGGGGGTTATCATTTACATGTTTTTACTTTTCTCAAAAAAATGTAACATTTTATACAAAAAGGTTCAGAAAAATAAAACAGAGAATTCAGAGTGGTATACTGAAACCAAACAGTGTTATTATATTTATTTAGAAAATACAGCAGGGAAATTTACTAGGAAAGAAGAAGAAAGAGCTATCCATGGCCAAAGTATGAGTTTGATAAATCAATGTGTGCTGGAAAACCTACTGTAGTAGTACTACTTCAAAGACAGACACTACTGAGACATGTTATGGTCTCAAGAGTCTCTCTCCTATCTTGCATGCAGAAGTCACTAACATCGAAAACATTCCATTATTTTTAGAGCTACCTATAGCTGTAGGAAAAGAATAAAAAGCCACTGTTTATCACAGCATCACATTATTCTTCTGTCCTTTAAAAGCAAAATCATTGCATCTCAACACTGCTTCACAGTGAAGCAGAACTCCATCCCCAGAGGCTAGGATGAGTCGAGAAGAAAAAAAATAAAATTCAATTTCTAGTACTTTGAAAGCTTCTTACACATAATTTACAAATTGTCAATTGTTCTAGTAACCGCTTGTGGCAAACTGTAAGCTAAGTTTTCAACATGATTTTGAAAGTGGGTTTTAATTAGGGGTTCAGAATGTATTCTTCCCCTCTCAAATTGGCAGAATCAAAGAACATGTGAAACATGTTAACTGGGAGTGTTGTCGTAATTGGAATACAGAGAAAAGCCAGGTAAGAATTTGGTCACTATTCTACTTAACATGAAAAGTGCCAGTAACATAGATCAGATAAAAAAGTAAAACATTTCTAGAGTAACATGTCATCCTTCGGCTCTGTGCATTTTATTTTTGTATTTTTCACTAGCTATTCAAATTCGGGAAATCCTTACGCAATCGCTTAATGCTGAAGAAGTCACCTTCACAGGTATTTCGAATGCTAGATTTAAAATTTACTGGTGTGACAGAACCCTGGACACTCACCTCTCAGATAGAAGAACTTCCTGTAGTAGTAGCAGCCAAGGTCAACATGCTCTACAATGTATCTCTTGACCCGGTCATTGTGTAGTGACTGGCTATCCTTGGGCACCTCCAGCACTGCAACTCCAGCATTAGTGCAGTGGGAGCTAAGAGAGGACTCAAAGGGGCTAGGCTCCCCTCCACTGCTGCCCGTTGCTCCCCCACTTCCGATAGTGCCCAGTTTGGACAAGCTTATCTTGCGTTCACCCTCTCCTCCAATCTCATTGCGGAAGCAGGGGCAGCTCAGCACCAGATCATTGCTCTTGTCATCCCCCGGGTCCAGACTGGGGTTATCCTTGGAGTTGAGCTCCTCCTGGCTGCCAGAGGGGGAGCTGTAGGCCCCACTCTGGCCCGAGGAAAGGGAAGAAGATGTGGAGGCTGCGGCCGCAGCAGCAGAGGCGCCGGTCGTGGTATTTCGGCGCTTGACAGCAGTCTGCCTGTTCTGCACTGCCTCATTCAGATCAAACAAGATGCTCTGGACGTCATAGTGGGCAAACCCTTTCTGGCAAGTCCACGGCTTTGGAGGAGGGCCGCCATCATCCGACCTCCCATCCTCCACATCAGAGCCTGCCCGAGAAGAATCGCCTTCAGCCCTGACGCTCCGCAGCTTACGGAATATCGAGTCGCCCCCCGTCTCCGACTTGGAGCGCCTCTTCAGGGGCTTTTCGCGGTCCTTCAGCCTGCTCGACGGGCTCCCCCGTTGTGCCCCAGATGACATGGGCCCATCTGGCAGGTCAAAACCACTCGCCTGTTTCTGTGCCACGGTGAGCAGCTCTCCCAGCTTCTCAGGCGCTGGACTGCGCTGGTCTGGCTTGTCTCCCTGGTAGCCCTTCAGCATGTCAAAGAAGCTTTCGCCCGAGGCTCCATGCTTGTCTATGGAAGAGGTGCTGCCATACTCCCGGTGTAAGGGGGACCACTTAAAACCAGAAGAACCCCATTCCTCCCCCCCATCACCACTGCCATCGAGTTCGCTGATGGTGATGTCGCTGTTGCTCCGCTGGCGAATGCGGCGCATGCCTTTGCGGGGTGAGCCCAGATAGCCGTCAGGCGAAAGGAAGCGACCATCCGTGCTGCTGGAGCTTCCACTCTGAGTTTTGTTCTTCAGAGTGTTCTGGATGTTACGCAGCATGTTCGAATCCTGTGGACTCATCAGGTGACCCAGTTTGGCCGACAAGCTGCTCTGAACCCCACCAGCAGTACTTGGCGAATCCGTTTCCACAGTCACATGCCAAACTCCTCCATCCTTCCGAGGGGGCCAGTCGGCAACCCTTGCCCGTACCCCCATTTTGGGGACCCCTGGGGTGCATCCTGAAAGGTGGGCGCTCTCGCTGCGGGGGGGTGGCGCCCCTCCGTTTGGTAGACGCAGGCGCCGGGTGTAGAATTCATCGGTGGCAGGGACGGACCCACCCACAGCCCGCTCAGTCTGTGAACGCTTCAAGCTGGTCATGGTCCCTAGTTGGCCTGGTGTTCAGAAGGAGACCATGTCTGCCAGTCAGGTAAGGCCACGCCCTCTGCACACAGCTCCCCAAGATCATGGGCCGCCACACAACTATCAAGGGGAGAGAGATTGAAGCGGCGTTCCTCTAGGTGAGCTCAATCCTGTGTGTGGTACTGCTGCATGCTGCGGTCTGTCCCACCTTTATTGCAACTGCTCACTATTTGAGTCTCTGGCACTGGATTTGTCCCATAGCACTACTGAAAACTCCAACCTTAAAATGAGAAAAGCAAAAGACAAAGTTAATTTAAACAGATATGCACAGTGCTGGTATACTGTTAGACATATAGGACCTATTTTATTCTAATTCCTGAAAATCAATAATAATAAGAACAAAGTAAAAAGGGCTTAAAATACTATATCAGCCTGAATTGCCATATATTATAAAATTTGGTTCAGCCTTAAGATAACTGAATGCTATTTATGTCCTTTTAAACCACTGTTATAGGTCACAGGTACAGGTCAAATAATTACGTGGAGTCTCTCAATCAGAAATGTACATTATTCATTTCATAATAATACAAATAATGGAAGCACAGAAATCCTAAAACTGAATGAAGTGTCTTCTAAGTTTGTTTTTTTTTCTGGGGTGGGGGGGGGTGGGACTGAGCAATTAAAGAAGAACAAAAACGCAAGAGAAACAGAGAAAACCACCAAGGTAATATTCAATCATAAAAAGAACAAATTAACATTGCCTGTGAATTCATTTTTAGGACCACACTTTAGGTTTTCTAATATTCCCTGCTTAGGTTATGTTTAATTTGAAATATTTTAACATGATTTAACCTTTCAAAACAATTGCATTACCTTATGAAGATGAGAAGTTATAGAGAAGGAATATCCTACTCACACTCAGTATGAAAATTAATTTAATCAAAATACAAAAGTGAAGCTAAAACCTGCAGCTCACAACAAAAATGTTTATATATATTAAAATATAAATATACTTATATATTTCTCTCATCTTTTTTTTCATGTGCAATTTCACTGTAATGAACAGCTCTCACAACATTTTGTGATTGCTTTGCAAGGCATATCTACCACTGTCACAGAAGTTTCATCTCTAAACCTCTATGACAAATGATTTTCCTACTTAAACATAACCTGCGAAGTTCTCAAGGGTAATATTCAGCACCCTGGATAGCTCTCAGTAGACTGGTCCTACACAAATCCTAGACAGCATCAACACTGCTCTCCAAACTGATGATGGTTTGTTTGAACTTGGGTTGTGCAACAAGGAATCCGGACACACCTATGGGGTCAAGATGGAGCCAATGCAGACAGCACTTGGTGGATTCAGCAAAAGAAAACCTAAACGTGCCAGAGATTAGATTCACCATTGATTAGCGGTGTGCCTGCCTTCACAAGAGTGGCATATTCTTGGGTTTGCTTGAGTATAAATTCTATATTTAAATACAGACTCTTAAGTTCACTGGAGAAGGTTTTTCGAAATTCACAGTTGACCAACAAACCCCATTGTTTCACAGTTTGAATTGAAAGTGGAGTTTTAAGAACATTTTCTCACCCATTCTGTTTAGGGCACCTATCATGGGCATAGTCACATACTGTGTAATTATAATAATAATAATTGCTTACACTTATATAGTGCTTTTCTGGACACTCCACTCAAAGCACTTTACAGGTAATGGGGACTCCTCTCCACCACCACCAATGTGCAGCATCCACCTGGATGATATGATGGCAGCCATAGTGCGCCAGAACACTCACCACACATCAGCTATCAGTGTGGAGGAGAGCAGAGTAATGAAGCCAATTCACAGATGGGGATTATTAGGAGACCATGATTGGTAAGGGCCAATGGGAAATTTGGCCAGGAAATTTCGAGAAACGCCCTGGGATTTTTAATGACCACAGAGAGTCAGGACCTCGGTTTTACGTCTCATCCGAAGGACGGCACCCGTTTACAGTATAGTGTCCCCGTCACTATACTGGGGCATTAGGACCCACGTGGACCGCGGGGTGAGCGCCCCCTGCTGGCCCCACTAACACCTCTTCCAGCAGCAACCTTAGTTTTTCCCAGGAGGTCTCCCATCCAGGTACTGACCAGGCTCACACCTGCTTAGCTTCAGTGGGCTGCCAGTTGTGAGTTGCAGAGTGATATGACTGCTGGCATAAGAGCAGTGTACAAGAGAGGATCAGTGTCAGGGATAATAAGTCACCCCTTACAGATTAGTTGTTTAATTTCCGGTTTAAGTCTCGTTGAAGCTAAGTAAAATTCGAATCCCTCAATTTATATAGGAGTGCTAAAGTAACATCTTCAAGCAATGGGCACGTTGAACATTTCCACAAGAGTGTATTTTGTGATTCATTTGAAAGGGATATCAGCTTCTCACATAGGTAATATTTTAGTCTGTTATGTTTTTCCACTCCTCATTATTCATTAAAAAGATATTCAGCTCAAATGTGCAATTTAAGCAAATTTTCAGAGAACCTGCACAAAACCAATGGCTGTAAGCATAAAAGCAAAACAGATTCCAAGAAAGAAAAAAAGCATCTGTGTACAATATCTTGCAGTTATTTACATAATTACTGTTGCAGCACTGACTAAAATTTGCAGTTTATGACATAGTGACTGCTCAGTCTGCATTTGAACATAATTCAGATCGTTTTTAGGTTTTTAGGTACCTACATATCTGTATCAATTACCTTTTCATATGCAACTTAGCTGACAAACAGTATCACGTCAGAAGTTAATAAATGGATACGTCTTCAAAAATGTCTAATAGGTTGATCTGATCATATTTGATGAGAATATTAAGTTTAACCCTAATATTATAAAATATATATATATATAATGCAGGGCCTGTAAAATGTGTTTCCAAATAACATTTGATCTACAGAGAGATAAGAAGTGTTTTAGGAATGTTGAAAAGTCTGATTTATTTTGCACTGTGGTGGGGAAGTCACAGAAAACAGGAGTGGATGTTCTGTGGTAGGATTATTGGAGATTCTATGTAAAAGGAAAAGCATATATTAGAACAAGAGAGTTAATAGAACATTTGTGATATTTCATGCTTAGATTAAAAGTGTAGGAATTTATGAAGCCCAATATCTGGCTAGATGGGGGCATTGTAGGGCAGTGGTTAAGTGTCTGGTCTCCTAACTGGTGAATTATGAGTTCAAGTCCTTGCTGTTGTATCTTCACCAAGGTACGTTACCCAAGCTGCTCTAGTCCAACCAGCTGGATAAATTGGGACCAGTGTTGTTGGGGGTAATCCCCAAGATGGACTGGCATCCCACCTGATAAGGGTTGTCACATGCTCTTTCATCCACTGTCTTAGAAACCAGGATTAGCTCTGGGCCGATGAACCACTGTGGCTCAGATATGGAAATCATGTAACATCTGGTTGGACATCACTCCTGCTGTAAGACTATTCCCTTAGGTACAGCAATTCACTTCAAAGCTCATCAGCTAAGCAGTCTAAGACACAGCTTTCATTTGTATTAAGAAGTAAAAACTTTGAATTAATATTATGTGCAATTTACTTTGCAAGCTCAGGTGACTCTGCAATAAATATCAAGTGAATACTATTGTTTTCACATTAAATATAGCGAGTATGACAAACTGGAACGACAAAGTGAAATAAACTAAGCATGGCTTTAGTAGAACATCACATCAATTCAGAGTTCAGACAAAGAATAATTCAGAATTCAGAGTTCAGAACTGCCTTTGATAAAAGGCAAAAAGTTACCACATTCTTTTGCTGGACAAACTGATAGTGAAGATATTATGTACACAAATCCGAGTTTTCAGAAACATCAACATAAGTCATAAATGCATTCTGAAAGGTGGAAAATGTTTAAAATAAAAGTTTCAGATGTTAATATTAAAGGCCTTTTGGATGGATTTGAAGTGTTATGTAACTAGAAAAAACACTATGTGTATCATAGCAACCAACTGCCTATTAGTTTCAATTGCTGCACTGGGGTTAAAAGTGTTATGGAATAAACACAGAGCAAATCCAAACAATAATTAAGATGTAACCACAATATTAAATATATTAAATAATCTCAGTCATCAAAAAACATCTAATCAAAATGGTGATAGTAATACTTAAAATGATACTACAAAAAAAGTATAATTTTATAAGTAGCTTTATTTTAAGCAACATTTATATTACAGACTTTGAAAGTTGCATTATGTAACTGTCTGGTATCTGATATAACAATAACTCCTGTGAAATACAATTGAACTCACCTCAGAATATGCAACATAAAACTGAGCATCTTACTTAACCTCGAGATTTTCTAACACCACGAAGCATAAACAGACTCTTTTTTCCAGCTCTGGTTTGCCTGGCTTGAGTATACTGTACCATGGTTATCACTGTCAAGACTTCTACATATGGCAAAATGTCTGCTTTTTGCAGTGCTATTATAGTGGTAAGAGATGATTTATTAAAAGACAAATGCAGCAAAATCTAGACTTTGGTGGATTAATGCAAGAAGAACATGGTAATTAGTTCAATTGATCTTATTTTTAACAAAAACACTGTTAAAAGAACAAAGATATGGTTCAATTGTAATTTAAAAGAAAATATATTTTGTATTGCCCATTCTACTGTAATCGCAGCAAAATCTAGATTTTGGTGAACTAATGCAAGCGGAAGAACATGACAATTAGTGAAACTGATCTTATTTTAAACAAAAACGCTGTTAAGAGAACAAGTATTGTTTCGTCATTTAATATCTCAGCAAAAACTTTTTATACTAGAAAAGATGGGTGCCTGTCTGTAGCCTCTGTTAGTCTACTATACTTAATTTTAGGATTTAAAAAGTACAAAAAGGCATATCTAACTGTAATCCAAGGATGTGTTCTTTTCTTGTCAACAAAGCATTATTGTCCAGTTTGAGCTCCTTCCCTGGTGGAGCTAGAGGTCATTTACCAAAGCCTTACTCAAGGAAAAGTCTGCATCTCTTAGTATACAACACGTGAATGTAAAGGTTTACAACACAACATTTCCTAAGTGCATGCTTTTATCCATAGCATTTAATCTAACAACAGCAATCTTAACAACAGTAACAGGATTTATTGCTCAATTTGCAGCCTCATTGCAGAGGACACTGTTCCCAAAGGAAAATGTGCAATGTCATACCCATTAAAGAGAATTTCAGATTGAAGTTCTTTCTAAGGAAGGAAACAACAGATGTCCTCAATCAAATTAAGATTAATTTTAGTATTTTTGATTTGCA